TTTTTCTATGAAAAATATCGAATTCGAGTGTCTGTGCCGTGCCTGTATAACACTTACGCGATATTATCATCGTGTGTTATTATTGTATAGCCCACTCATAATATTACTACACAGTTAATATCATGCGAATTCGTTACCTTCGCGGACCGCTGTGCCGTGCCTGTACTGTAATGTATACAAATATCGTAGTAGGCCGGTACCCGCACCGCAACATTGTAACGACAGCGAAAAACTCGACATTCTTACGTCCGCTCGGTGTGGGCCGGCGTCGAAAAAAATTCTAAAACATTGGACGGACATAATTCGCACGATGCGTGGACGATGGGCAGTTGCAGCGGATAAGAAGTCGGGAAGACCCGGTATAGGATGATATAGACAGGGTATTAATGCGGAATACAGTGAAAAATATTCGTATGGATGACTTATCGTGGTAAATCGTTTGAGTGAAAAATCACGTGAAGAGGGAGCGAATTTTCACCCCGAGGACAGCCAATTAAAACACTCCGTTTATTATCTCGCGTATTTTATTAATTGCGAGTTATAATGAACCTCGTGTTAAATTTCAAGCATTTCTGTTTAGCCTAACAATTTTAACACTCACAAAATTAAAATGTTTATAAATGACTCAAATCAATTGTGTGAGGCGGTACGGTGCGCGGCGTGTTAACCGCTACTCCCCTCCAATCTAAACTTAAAAATGTAATATCTCGTCCACGGCTTGACAGAAATAAAAAAATTTCAACACTCAGATACTCCATCTATTTATATAATTTTTAATATAGGTTGCCGTTTGAAAATTAAAAGTAGATAGTAGATAAAAGTTGATGGTTTTACCTCCGAAAATAAGGGCGATAAAAAATAACATAAATATAACATTGTAGAGCTGCTTATTTCTTAAATTGTCTAGAAAATACCGGAAATAAAACAGCTGGACATTAAAAGTTCAGGAATTAATATTCCAGGATAACATATAACAAGAAAATAATATACATGGAATTGAAACGAATTGAAATTTAAGTTTATGAAACGTAATTACGAGAAAAAAAAATTACAAGGAATACAAATTTGCCGGAATTAAATAACTCTGACGGTAAAACTCACGGAAAGCAAAATCACGGAATGCTAATAAAATCTCGGAAAAAAAAACCACCGGAACTATGAAATCATGGAGTATAATATTCCCGTATTATAAGATTTGAAGAAAGTAAAATATGTTTAAAATTAAGTCTTGGACCGTAAAAAGGAATTTAAACACACTGTTTGTGATCGGTTTGAAACTTAAAACTAATGGACAAAAGAAAAAAAAAAGTAAAATTCAGTTCAAAAACTTAAATTTCGGACTATAAATAACTAGCAAACAATATGCATTGAATTTAAATGAATTGAACTTAAGTTTTTGAAATGTAATTAGGAAAGAAAAAATTAAGGAACGTAAATTAACTCTGACCGTCAAATGTCCGGAATGTAAATTCCTTTTAATTCCGTGCATATTTTTTTCTAGTTAGTTACATTCCGAAATGTAAATTTTCAAACTGAATTTTATTTTTTATTTATTTTTTTGTTCATTAGTTTTAAGTTCCAAACTGATTACAATCAGTGTGTTTAAATTCTGTTGATTTTACGTTCGGCAACTTTATTTTCAATGTATTTGATTTTATTTAAATCTTTCTTTCGGTGTATTTTAATTTCTTTCAATTTTGTAATTCGGCATAGTAATAGTCCATAGTTTCAACATTCCGGTTATTTTATTTCCGGAATTTCACAGCCTTCCTTCGTAGAGACTTGAAATTTAGACAAAAACTTATATTTTCCTTTTCTAGACGTAGTCAAATTTTCAAAAAATTAAAGCCATTTTTGAGCTATTTATACAGACATTTTAATTTTGCGAATTATGTACGTAATTTTTATTCGGTAAGTACTTTGTGATAAAATTGTTGGACGTAATAAGAGGTTCACTTGGAATCACGTGAAATTTTACTTTTATAAGAATAGCTCATTTGTAAAAATTAATTTTTATAATTTTTTTTTTTTTTTACATATTATAAAGTTATAACTTAGCCACTTTTTCACCAAAAAATGTTTGAACAAGAATAATTGTATACGTTATGAAAAGACCTTAGTTATAGATCATCTTTATAGACTCTAATGAGTTAAAAATTTAAAAAAATATAAATCAAAATTTTTATAAATTTCTTAAAATGAGCTATTCTAATAACAGTAACATTTCACTTGGTTCCAAGTGAAAAACTATGTAAAACATCGTAACATTTGAACTTCATAAGAAAATGTGATTTAATTGAAAGTATCGTTACTTTCCTATGTTATATTTAAATGGATAAACTAAATATGCGGTGAGCAAGTTCTAAACATTTTTTTTTTTAGATAAGTTTGAGTCCACGAGGAAGCGATTCCCAGTCTTAATTCGAAAAAAACAATGAAAAACCAAAACAGCCTAATAATTATATCTCAGTAAATATTCACAGTTTATGATGTTCGTTATAATTTGTAATATTTGTTCAATTTTATGTAATAATTTATGTTTTTAATCGTTCATTTTTGGTAAATGTATGCAATTGTATTTTTATGATTACCTGATAACCCTCTAGTCTTTATACCATCGCAAGCAAATGCTTGAAAGAGTAGAAAATATATTCTTTATTTTTATACTATGTTTATGTTTTTATATATTTTTAGTATATTATAAAGAAATGTATAAAATGTACTGTGGTCGCGTAGCAGATAAATATACAAGATGTCCAACAATGTTTTTCACATAACTCTGTTAATATTTAAATTTGTTCGTTATTTTATTTTTTTTTTTTATCCGGTTTTGTGTGTTGAAATATTCAAAAGAGCCATTTTGTTCAATCCCAAAAATTGGGATTGTTATCCGTTCAATATTATAGTTTCTTATAATAGCAATAGCCGTTTAATTTTCCGGCATAAAACAATAAATCATATTTTTGTAATAGATAAACAGTTTGGGTTCACGTGGTGTTCTGCATACAGAATAAAATGATAACCCGCTCGTTGTAAAAACGACTATCACTCGACAGTTTTATTGCATGTTTTATGCTGCACGCGATACGATTCCTTATCGCTATAACGCGGCCGTCTATTGAATATAATTTTTTCGCACTCTTTCGTTTTGGAAATCAAAAAGGCTATCACCAAATTTGAATACTGTACATCGGATACGCGTAGATTGAAAAAAAAAATTGAAATAATATTAACTGTACAAATCGGCCATATTATAATAGTGTCGAAAAACGAACAAATAGAGTCGTTCTTTTTTTTGTCGTTCGTCTATAGTGGTTACGGGGTAATAATAAAGACGACATTTTTCTTCACGGTAAAACGCGCGTCTCTTTTAAAGAAAAAATACAATCAAAAAAAAAAAAAGAAAAAGAGCTGATACTGGGAGTGGGAGCGACCGCTGTTGTGAGTGAGAAGTTAGGAAGGTAGGAGGATACATAAAGTTACTTCATTTATATCTGTAAGCAACGATAAACCATTGCTTAACGAAAGACGATTCCGAGCACAATTCGGTAATACATAATTTGAAGTGCCGTAATTTTTTTTTGCGATTTTCGTTTAAATTTGATTTCAAAACGCTTATTAAAAAAAAAGAAGTCATCCGATGATTTTGGAAAAGTTTTTACGTGTATTTGTAACCAAATTACAAGAAAAAAACCTCCCAAAAATAAAAATTCTTTAAAAGCTCAAAAGCTTTGGCAAGGATACCGGTAGAAATCAATCCAAAACGGCAATAAAATAGGTATTTTATGGTTTTTCGATTAAATCATTTATTCCGGCAGAAAACGTCGTCCGTGTTTTCATAAAATAATAAAATCTTCAAATTGTACGTTTTCCTACGTCTTTTCCCGTTTAAGCGCTTTTATTGAAAAACGGCGTCACAAATCAAAAAATGACATCTTTTAAGTACAATCTAGACAACTCGAGCTTTCAGAAAAGTTGTTACACGTAAATATCGAAGCAAGTTTACTGGGAAAAAAACGTGTCCACAGACTAGAACAAAGAAAAAAGAAAAAGAAATAAACGGCATTGTAAAACCAATAGCTCCATCGCTACGCTCGGAATCCAAAGATGTCAATACACCAACAGAGTTATTAACGAATTTTCGCAAAACGACGTACGGGAGAAAAAACCATGCACAAATGTACGCGCGTACAACGTATTATAATAAAATCGTAATTGGCTGGAGCCCCGCGTCGCGACAGGGGCTCGTAGAGCGCGGGACCGCACGATAATTTTTATTCGCGCGACGTGATTTTAATCGAACCCCTTCCCCCTCGGCTAACGGTCCTCGCCCCCGAAACCGGTACACGCTATTTATACAACAATGTCGGGGGCGCGCGCGCACGGTTCACATAACATTTTATTATGCGCACATACGCGTGTACGGCGGCGGACGCGCGCGAAATCGTCGCAGGCAGCTGCTGTAAGCTGCAACGGCGGCCCGTGGCACGCGCGCCCCCGACTATACAACGGTATCTCTGTCGTCCGCCGCGGCCCGCGCGTTGCATTGTTATTTGTTATTGTCGGAGCGTCGCGCGTACGCCCGTAACCGCCGGCGACAGGCGGGTGTTACCGCGGGGGACCGGGCCCGGCCCCCTGCGCGCCGGTCGTCGGCCGCGGCGATTGGTCGGCGGTATGCGGTCCCGCGAATATAATATTATCGTGTACACACAATGTAAACACCCGGTGGCGGCGTACGCCGCGACGCGCGCCGCTAGACGGTAGACCACCACGACACTCCGGCAGTCAGTCAGTCGCTGCGCTGCACGCTACGACAAACGTGAACGCTCTCCGTCAGTTGACGCGCGCGTGCCCCGTGACATCAGCCGTCGCCCGTCCTCGTCATAATAATTACTCTTTCGTACACACCGCGATCTTCATCACAGTTTCCACTGCCGTCGCTTGCGACTACTATTACGATCGAATATTACAATAATCTATCGGTACGAAGCGGATCTGCGATGACCGATTACGCCGCAGCGGCGACGACTTCCGAACCTTCTTGGACGTGGTGGATGACCACGGCGGCGGCAGCGGCGGTCAGGATGCGAAACCTCCGGGACCACCACCTCGGCGGAGGAGGAGGAGGAGGCGGCGACGGCTTCAACGAACATCCGGACGACGAATACGTCGGGCCCAACAGAAAGCGGCAGCGTATCGATAGCGACGGAGGCCACGACGAGTTTTGGAATACCTGTGGTGTTTACGAACGGGATGACGGCGGATCGCGGCAGGCATACGACACGGTAGCCGTGGGACCGCTGGATTTGTCCGTGAAAGCCACGCTGACGGCGTCCGCGCACATTGTTGACGAACGACGCAGGGTCTGCGACGGCCGCGGTGAAAAAGACGTCGACGAGTACAGGGCTACGACTCCGGTGAAGAGACCCGCCGCTACCACCCGCATCTCCAACAGTAAATCGTCAAAAAAGACTACTGGCGGCAAGGCGGCCTACTCCGGCAAAGCGACTACCTCGGGTACGCCGTCAGCAGCAGTAAAGGCGGCCACCCGGAAACTTTTACCGCAACTACTCATGGACCAGCGCGTGGACCGGTCGTCCCCGGTGTCCGGTACGATAATCGTACCCGCAACGACCGAAGATCCGACAACGCCACCCCCGCAGTCGTACGATTCCGGCGACGCGGGCGACCGGGACGACGACTACGAGAGCGGTGACATCGATCCCGAGTTTAACGTCGTCGTGGTCACCGAGGAAGCCCGCCGCCGGCTGGAGAGCATTCCGAACGCGTTGGGTCCGTACAAATGCAAATTGTGCAGCGTCCGGTTTTCCGACGCGTTCGCGCTGGCCCGTCACAGGTGCCGGTGTATCGTGCACGTTCGATACCGGTGCCCCGAGTGCGACAAGGTGTTCCAGTGTCCGGCCAATTTGGCGTCACACCGGCGATGGCACGGCGGCTCCGCGGGAACGACGCCCAAAACGTCAGGCGGCAACGGCCGCAGCACCAAGAATGCCTGCAACGGCGGATTAGACAAACGAGAAGCCGCGGCGGCGACGGTGACGGTCGTCGCCAACACCGTTACGGTCAAACAGGAGGAAGCGACCACCACCACCACCACCACCACCACCACCACCACTACCAACAACAATAACAACAACAACAACATCGACGACGACGACACCGACGGCGTCACGGTCTACGGCCGAGGCAAGAACGCGGGCGGCGCTGTCGCGGCCATCCCGACGGCCGTGGCGGGATTCAAAAAGAACATATTGCACAGAGCGGTGCAAGCGGCCGCGGCCGCCGCGAACAACGACGGTGTGGGCGCGTCGTAATCACGTCCATCATAAGAGTAAACTCTACAACAACTGGTATAACAACAACAATAATAATAATTACGGTATTATAGCTCGTTCTATAATTATTACTTCTGTACGTACGAAAAACTCACACACACACACCTATGGTATTAACACGCGAGATACGAGAGAAAAAAGGGCGTGCCTGAAACAAAAAAAAAACAAAAACAAAAATCAACATGCATTTCCGGGGAGAGAATAGGTGGTTTTACGTATTTTTTTTTTTCGTTCTTATTCCTACGCATTTACCGCCCGATCGTTTGGCATCTTATGAAACGGATTTCCCGCGCTAGTGCGTTTTTGACGCGCGAACTCGTCTGCGCGATATAAAACACGACCGCCGCTCAGGCACGCCCAATACAATAGTATATCCTAACGTTATTTAAATAGCCGCCGAACAATACTCGGAACGGTCACCGGCCCCGAGGATTTACCGCACGCGGGTTTGTGTCCGTCAATGCCGCCCTCCGGGTTTTCGAATACATATTTTTTATTTTTTGGTTTTTTTTTTCACAGTAGCTACTAATAATATTCGCGTAAAACGTTATTATCAATTAATATATTATTATTACAAATATTACGAGGTATACCAGTCGTGTACCCAATATTTAGTATACACGCGACGTGTATTTGAAAATAATTCTAGTCGTACACGATACGTGTAAATTACTGATTACAAATAATGATTACGGACTCGACGTTAGATTTTCGACATTTTCGTTATAGTTAATTAGTACCTAAATTTTTGGAAAAAAATTTGTATCTTTAACATTGACCCGTCTCGTGTCAATGTAATTCGTTATTAGATTATATACATTGTATTATAAATATATATATAGTCATTAGTTTTAAATATATTATAATTATTCTTATATATTATATAGTTAACGCGCGCGGTAAGAGTAATCAACTACTATGTATTAACAATAATGGTATTCGTATTGAGTTTGCGATTGTTCGAACGAGAAATTTATTCGAAAATCGTCTTGTTTTTAAATCAAATGTTTACAGAAAAATAAAAAAAAAAAATAAAAAAAAAAATATAAAAAAACCTTAGCGTATATTATGGTATACCCATACACATTTAATATTCTTCATTCCCTAATATTTAATTTCAATTGTTATTACAAATATTTTACGATTCGCGGATTATTGAAAAACAAAATATGTATATTTCAACAACCGAGTTATAGTCTTCGGGAACTAGTTTTCCGAGCATTTTTCTTTTTCTACGCATTTTCGCCGTATTCGAGTCGAGTTTATCGTGTGCGTTTGCCCGGTAACGACGGGCGTTCAAGTCACTGTACGCGTATAATGTTTTATGCGAATTCACCGCCGCCGTGTAAACTGTATGTGTATAACCCGGGGATTAAAGGCCAGTATACCTGATATAATAATTATTATTATACAATACCCATATTTATTATAATCGTATCTATATCCAAACGAATTTTAGTTTCTATAAGTATAACACATATTGCAGTTCGTTTTCGTAGTTTAATAAAATCACAGACGTGTATTGTACTATTATACTATAATATGTATATTATTTCGATATGATCAAACAGAATTAAAAATAATCCGATGAGAGGAGGAGGCCGAACATCTGAATGTTAAACGAGAACTATAAACAACGGCAATACCAATATTACCTGTGAGCAGTATTTGTCTAGAGACTAAATCATTCAGTCTCTATCGCAGTCATCCGCTGTAATCGTTAATTTCCCCGATATCTTTCGTATAACGCCCTTTTAAGCCTTTACCTATCGAGAACCGTGTCTTATTATTTGATTTGACGCAGATAAAAGCGCCTTTCTCCTTAGACTTTAATCCAAATCCGAACGAGGTTTTTTAACACAATAACGAGACATAATATCCTTTTTTATTTTTTCAAGAAAATACACACATGCACGTATTATATACGGTTTGGAAAACTCGAGAGCTAAAAGTGAAATTCTGCCGAGCTTAGCCCCCGAATCCCGCGAGGTTATAATACAGTGTTGTGCGTACGAAATATATACATAAAATAACGCCCAAGTGCGTGGATCGAAAGTGTACTTATGGTGGTGATATTGTGTAGGTATACATAGTGATTGTCCGACCAATACTTTTCATATAGTATAGGTATGATATAGATAGTGATAAGTTTGTAAATACAATTTGTTGTACATTATTATCAAACTGCCGCTGCCATCGGCAGCGCGCGGTCGAGAGTATGTTCTAGTCATTTCCCTCCGTATATCCTCAAACCGTATTATGTACATTTTGTATACAGGTTGTTTTTTTTCCAATCGTTGTCCAGCGATATTGTTTTTGGTGTTTGATTTTTTTTTTTTTTTTGTTATTGTATAAATATACCTATAGAGTCGTTTAACGGTCAATTTACAATATGTTTAAAACGTTTCCCTTAATCCGAATACGCGATACACAAATATCGACTTTTGATTTTCAAATAGCAAACTCCCATCCTATTCAACGCGGATTCGAAAAGAGAATAGTTTTCTAAAAATATTAATAAGCACAACACTTTATTATACATGATATTGTATTAACCGTTTATGAGTTATAAACTGTTAAAAATTTAAACCTGAGAGTTAAGGCGAAAGGCTATCGTATATACAGATGGATGAAAGATGTTTATCGTCCCTTCCTACTTTTTCGGTCTAAATTTTAAACTGTTATTATAACTCATAAACGGTTTATTCGATAGAACTGTTATAGTCACATAGCACAACATTTAAAATAGTTAAATATAATATTATTTTTTCGAATCTATAATGAATAGAGTGGTGAGTTTGTTCTTTGAAAATCAAAATTTAATACGCATTTAAGATACAAGGAGTAGGGGATAAAAACTGAAGATTATGTTAAAGTCATAAAACGTATAAAAAATTCAATTAGGATAAAAAAAAAAACACAAATTAAATTTACTTAAAACTTTTATTATTACCTACGAGGAATCACTGAATCATAATATAAAAAAACACCCTGTACATATTTAATATACATAATATGTAAATAGGTACATATCGTATACTTAACCCCATGGGTGTATGCAAGAGGGGGAGGGTTGGGTGGTCAAATCTCCCTTAAATTTTCACGTTTTGTTTTTACCATACAAATTAGTTATATATTATAATTTTTAATTTTATTAACTGCTATGTATTACATAACTTTTAAAAATATATTATATTATAATATTGACCCTCCTTTTCCTAGTCAAGAAAACTATTTCCTATCTATACACCCATGCTTTCCCCCACACATAGTAATAAATAATACTACTATAATTTGTACATATATATATATACACATTAACAATAAATATCGATACATTTTAATATTTGTAATTAATTATAATTATTCCGTATAATCTAGTCGAAACACATAGTTATAACCTAGTCAAAAATAATTTTTTTATTTAAATGTATAGTTTAATAGGTACACCTATCTAGTCTATAATCTAGTCTATATTATTTTAGTCGTAATCGAGTCTAGTCATATTACATTCAGTAAAATCTGACCGAAATAAAGTCTAGTCATTCATATAAGGTTTAGTCAGACCGTCTGTATCTCAATTGATTAGATGCAGGCTAATCAGATGATAAATTAAGGAGCGCCAACATTGATTAAACATTCTATTCTCTTTATGGATTTATCATTCCATCTACTTAAAATGGTATTTACTCCGTTAGCAGACGAAAAATCTTTCAATCCTATTGATATTCGTGAAAAATCGCCAATACTGCAGATTTCTATCCGATTAACATCAGATTAATTATACGGAACAAGCGGTAAGCGAAATTTTATATGAAGTTTCCATAGTCATTTTTTGAATGCGTAAACATAAGCCGTTAATCGTTATATATATATAAATATAGTTAATAATTCTATAATCTAGTCAAAATATATTATTGTAATCTAGTCGAAATATACTATTGTAATCTAGTCGAAATATATTATTATAATCTAGTCAATTAAAAAGTAAAACAAAAAAAAAAGCCTATACATAAGTATACATCTATACCTATAATAATAATATCTAGTCAATAAAATATTATAACATAGTCGTAATCGAATCTAGTCTGACGTTCAGTCCAATCTGACTGAAATAAACGTCTAGTCAAACGTTAAATTATAGCGTAGTATCAAGTTTAGGCGTATAATTGACATTCTGTAAAAAAAATATATTATTATAATATCGTATAATGTTCGAATGAGTCCGCATCATCTAATCTTAGGGGTATTGGCTTTTGGCGGCCGCAAGTGTACACGCATGTCGGTGACCGAGATTTTGGTTACGGTTTACAAAATACAAATTAAAATCGGTTTAAATTATAATGTAATGTGTACTCGTATGTTAATATCAGTGTTGTAAAGTTCGTATTTTTAAAATAAATAAATTTATATCCTATATAGTTGAAAATGTAATAATATTGTACTTATAATTATCTATCAGGAGTTATAAAATTTTTTTTTTTTAGTCTTTGATGGAGTATATTAATAATTGTATTTATTCTATCGCAAGATATTATTTATGTAATGCAATTTGTAATTATTTTGTTTTTTTTTTTTTTTAATTTAAACATATATAATCTATGTATCATGTCCTAATATTTAATATAGTACGCAGTGAACATTTTACTTTATGCTATAATGTTTATAGCCCCACATATTTATTATTATTATTTTTTTTTTTAAACATATCTATATTGTATAGTTATAGATATGAACAGATTAATCAATTGCCTATATAACAAATATTATTATATTTTATGTTGTACCTTTTATGCGAATGTACATCTTTTTATTTTATTGTCAATATTATTTTATTGTTAAGCAAATATTTTATTTTTATTTTTTTTTTTTCGTATTTATTTATTTTACGTAACTAATATCATTTTTAATATTTCAAACACATCGATATTAATTATTATACACACACATATATATTTATTGTTAATATTTCGCACAAATTATAAATTTATAAAAGTAAATTACATTATTATATTATACGAGTTCTCGAAATATAAAAGAAAAACTCAATTATTACGCTATTATACATTTTTTTCTATCACAAACATATTATATTTGTATATTATTATCATTCCTATATTATACTATATTACATATTTTATGGTTTTGTTTTGTTTTGGTTTTTTTTAAAAAATCCAAAATAGGTACTTCACACAACAGGTGGGGGTGGGTCTCTGTCGCGAGTTAAGAATGTAAGACAAACCTACATACTATGATAATGATCACAATCAGTGGAGACGAAAAATGGCTTTAGGGCAAATTCGCTTCAACATGTTTTGACGAATTTACATTGAAAATTGTATATTATTTTGTAACTAGAAAATAAATTAAAATTTTTGATTTTTCAACGAACTTTGTCATTTTATAATATTAATACAAATAAATCGCAATATTTATTGTCATCCTCATAAAAAGATAAAAATCAAACATAATTTATGTATAACAGCACTTTTTAAGTAATGTAAAATAATCGATAATATACAGTTTGTATAGACTTGCTGTAAACAAATAATTATTCTAAATATTATCGGATGATTATAACTTTCTTATATTTATATATTTATTAACTTTCTAACCTTGACACCAAAATTCGTTTGAAGTAATTCTCCGTCTATTTATGGAATGTTTAATGTAGGTTCTCATTTGAAAAACCAAATTTGGTATCACCACAAGATACTCCTTAAATGTCGTGAAAAATCACATAGTTATTCGAAAATAGTGGCTTTAACTACACTTAAAAATTCCAAAAATTAAAATTTGAATCTTTACAAAATTTAACCAAAAAAAACGGGGTATCTACGCTTAGTGAATCATCTTGTATAATGTTATATCTTTAATCTATTATATAATGATGATTTATGAACCTCAAAATAATCGCTTGATGAATTTCTATTACTTGTATTTTTCTGTGAATAATTATCTTAATTCCTCCCCCCCCCCAATTGCAAATTCCTAAATACGCCTCTAACCCCTTTAAATCTTTTGATTTTAATTTTAAACTATTATATAATAACTATAGAAATCTGTTAAATGTATATTAATAAGAAAACCAAAAAAATTATTATATTATCGGAATAAATTAATAAAAGCTCCGGCTGATAGTAAACAAATATAGAATATTATTAATGACGTAATAGGAAAATTAAACAAAAATAAAATATGTGACGTAAATAAAATTATAAAAAGACAGTTTATACACTGAACCCATTTGGAATCAGACATTTGTAATAAGCTAAATAACTTTTTTCATTAATGTTGGGAATAACTTAGAAGTAGAACACATAAATTATAAATCGGCTGATAACTACAGAACTATAAGTGACAGTATATTTTTTAAACCAATTAATTGTGAAGAAATTATGTTACACTTTAATAAAATCAAAAACTATAATTCTTTTTATGAAAATAAATTGCCTAATTACATATTAAAAAAGCGGAAAAAAAAATTCTATATCAATTTCTTTACCATCGTCGATTATTTTCAATAAATCTCTATTAACTGGTATATTATATCCATCTTATTTTAAAAAATGTATTGTAATAATTACATTATTTTAGTCAGGTAATAAACTGGCATGTGGTAATTATAAACCAATGTCCATATCTTTAACTTTATCTAAAAGATTTGAAAAATGTATAAAAATAATACTACTTGATTTTTAAGTAAAAAATGTTTCTTTTCTAAACAACAATTTAGTTTCAGATATGGATTATTTAATATAGATGCATTTTCTAAGGTGGACAACCGTATCAGGAAAAATGTTGATGACAATGATAAGGTAATGGGCGTTTTTTTAGATGTTCAGATTTTCAGAAAACTTTCGATTGTGCTAATCATAAACTATAAATTAATAAATTAGAACACAAAGATATTCGTGGCATACCTAATAACTTGCTAAAATCCTTCTTAAGTGATAGATCTCAAAGAGTTAAACTTAATTATCAATATACGGAAATTTTAGAAGTATCTTGTTGTACCTCAAGGCACAGTTCTTGGTCCCTTCTCTCTAATTATTCTTAATCTTTATTAATGATTTCTTAAAAATGCACACTATCATAAATTGGGGTAACTTTGATAATAATGTTTTATTTTGATTAAACGGGACCACACTATATATTTATTTGTTATTATAATTTATGAATAAATATCAAATATGGATTAACATTTTAACAATGATAATCAATTTTGTATTATAGTATTTTGTTCGTTATTATGAAATAGAAATTACATTCACTGTATGGTCAAAAAAGAACAGAAAAAAATTGTTTGCGCAAAGTAAGTAAATACATTTTTACAATTTTTCATTAAATTTATATAATGTGAAGAAATTATTATGATGTTATTTTCACTTAGTTTTTCTAAGTTTAATTAATCATAGTATATATATAATAAAAGATTGTATGATGAGATGAAATTGATAAGTAATCTGTTGGAGCTAGTTTGATAATTATTTATATAATACGCAAGGTTGTGAAATGAGTAATACAAGTCCAACAATAGTTTGGTAAAAACTCTGCGGTCCGAATTTTTCATGATAATGACTTATTTAGAAAATGTTATGAATTTTAATTTCATAGTGCTTTAAAGCGTAGAGTCCTTCCGGAACGCATTCGAATTTTAAATAAAACCTATCAAAAAAAATTCAATTACATGACATTTTGATCACTTTTCGATACTAATCCGTCGACTATATGATTTTTGACCAAATGACCAGCACTCGATATTTATATCGAAAAGCCCTCGTTCATAATTAGCTGTTGTTGTGAGGAAAATGTTTAGCGTTTTTGTCAGACTAGAGTCAGCATTGCGTGTATGAAAATCTATATTTTTAAACTCAGATAAACCAAATATGCGTGCCACCCTTTTGACTTTATCTTCTCCTCTGGCATCATCGGTTACTGTTTTAAATAATTCATTGATCACCTAAAGAATTAAAGAAATTTGTATTTTATAAATGGCCTAGCGCGAAGTTTCGAGAAATTTAGGTAACTTGATGGACTAGGATTTAATTTATAATTTTTGTGTGCTAGATACTTTTCTCTTATCAACCTACATAAATTTTCATCAATCACCGAGGGAATTCATATTTTAATACTATATAGGTATAATATATTTATACTCATAAACTTAACAAAAATAATATTTTCTATATTATTAATTGTTCCATAGCCTTATTATTAGCCGACATTAATTTTGGAAAATAACTCACTCCAATTAACATTATTCAAAGCCATTGAAATGCCTACAGTCTGATTTAAAAATTTGTTTTTAATTAAAGATAGTTTAGGTGTAGCCATTGCTCCAATAAATTCACAATTCATAATTAAAAGAGGGTGGAATTTGTCAACTGGAACTGGTGGACTTTTCAGTTTTAAAGTATTAATAATAATTCGCTATGTAGGTATTTAAATAATTTGTTCATATTTCGTGATTGCCCCGTCTAATAATCATTTAGGTTACATAACGTGTATTACTGTATGTCAAATTAGTAATAATATACATGGCATTACAATAAAAATATGTGATTCATGTTTCGCCCTCTAGCGGAGAAAACTATTGAACCATTGTTTATACTTTACAGAAAACCTCTTATCAATATTATTGCTGGAATTAGTATTGTTCATTAGTCATTTCACACACAATAATACGTTTTCAAATTTAATAAAACATGTTTATAGTAGGTGTATGTCGAGTGTATAAAAGAAAGTTCGGTCCTAGACAGTATGGAAATCGATCAGATACCGTTGTTGAAAATGCTCTTAACAAAATAATTAATTGTGAACTTTAAATATTAGCAGCAAGAAAACAATATAAAATAACCCATGATATATTACACGACAGATATCATGGTAAACATGGTAATAAACCGGGAGGCCAACCATGAACCAATATGTAGTGAATATTTACTGAAGCTGAGGAAAAAGTATTATTGGCTACTATTGCTAAATGTAGTAATTGATGTTTCCTTTTAACCATGACTGACTTCAGGTAACTATTAATATCCTTGTTAAATATAATCTATAAAACACAAAAACTGTTTCTACTTATGACCATTATAGATTTTAAAATCATCCAACCCAACATGCCCCAAACCAGTCTCATTAGAAAGGCAATAATGCAAAGATGGTTTTAGACCACTAAAACAACACATTGAGCATATTCAGTCCATTAATGAAGTCGATTTTTGACTTTTCCCATTCAACAATTTTCTCGAATTTTAATATTTATTTTTTTTATATATTTTTTATAGATATAGATTATTCACAAACTCACCAAAGAGTGGCATTACTCACAAACAAATTAAAAACAAAACTTGTGCAATTTGTGCATCACATTTAATTATTTTGACCGCATTGGTGCGAAGTTGGCACATACTACTGACTGTCAACACAAAAACACTGATCTGTCATTCTCATCAGAAAGTTTTATCATTTGTGTTTATCACGTAGATCATGTCAAGTAATCAAATTAGGAAATATTAAAAACCTCATAAATTGTATTAAAAATATTTGTTTTCATGAAATTTGGTGGTGATTTTAAGTACTGTTATCAAAAATGCCACTGAAAAGAGCTGTTACTGGAAGAAATGCACCAAATGCTAAACGAAAGAGAACCATAAGTGCAGCCGAAATGCCTGAACAACAAGAAGTATGTTTGGCGTCAAACCAACTGAAATATTAATAATCAGCTGAAACTCCTCAATAGCATAAAAAGTGGCTTGAAGGTAATTTATCATGAACGGCTCAATCGATTTTCAGTTGGTTGCATTCAATAGTTAATAAACTAGATAATAATAATAAAAAATAATACTTTTTTCAGATTAGTGGCAGTTATTTTTGGACAAAATGGGTATTGTCTAAACATTTAAGGACAATCTACCGGGTAATGACTGGACTGAAAGTTTATTTAAAAGAAAAATTATATTTATTATATGTTTATTATTTATAATTTTGTATTTAAAAATATTAGATACCATATAATTATGATAATTTATTTTTATAAAGTTAGTCAATTAAAAAAAAAAATATTTTATATATATATAAAATTATTTTATTTATTATTAATTTTATTTTATTTTATTTTATATTCATACCATTACCATTAATTTAAAATACAAATAAATGATGGTACCAAAGTCATCTTAAGTTGGTATAACATTGATAGCTATTTTAAAAAAGTAATTTAAAAAAAAAAAACGATTGTTGAAAAAATTTAATTAAAATTTAAAGATAGTATTAAATACAAACTTGAGGCAACATATTTATTTTGAGATTTGTAATAAGTATTAAACAAATTGCTAGTAAAAAAACAGTAAAAAGTTAACAAAAATTTACCAGTCACTCCTATGTACATTAAAATGAATACTGAAATTCTAAGTTTTGCTGATGATACTGAAATTTTATTATCTGAACGAATTATAAATACTTTGTATTATGAGGCAAACAATTTTTTAAATAATATTAATATTTGGTTTTACAAGAATAAATTGAAAATAAACTTATTAAAATCTAAATGTATTTAATAATAATTGTTTCGACCCAATAAAGTGTAATACATTACATGTAAATAATCCATTTTTTAATGCGTTTCTGTTTGGAATAATATATATATATATATATATGGGCCACAGTGTGTTAAATTTGAAAATGTGAGGGAATTAAAATACCATGGTCTAATTCTTGACTATAGACTTAAGTGGGATAGTCATATTAACTATATATTTAATAACTCACATAAAAGAATTATTTTTCTACAAATGTATAAATGAATTAATTAATTAATTAATGGGTCGCCTGGAGTATTATGAAATGTGTATTGTACTACCAGTTTCTAATTAAAAATGTATCGTTAGGTAAAATCACAGTCAAAAAATAAAAGGCAGCTGAATATGAAAAAACAAAATGAAGGAATACATAGAAAAAAATTATACTTTTACATAGAAATAATTTATTTTAATAAGACAGATTATTTAAAATGAGTTATCATTAGACATACATATGTTAAGAAATATAAATTGTTTGGTTATTATTTATTATCTTAAATGTAGTGATATAAGGTATTATTTTTAAAATCAGTTTATACATTTAAAATGTTATTAAAATTATTTTTCTATATTTCATTGTGTATGTGTAATTCTTCTAAAACTTAATAAATGTAAATATTATTTTGGGTATTTAATACTTCTATGTCTGTATGAATATCAAAACTTATATCATGATTATTCTTTAAAACATGTTTGGTGAAATTTGAATTAGAGCAAGTCTTTTTTTAATTTTATTGCAGAAATGTTTTCTTTATATCTTATTTTAAAATGTATTACATTTCATTTTTTATATATATTAGCATTTTCAAAAGAAGAGATTTTTTTATGGAGTTTTTAGTTCTTTTGTTTACATGTTTGATTAAATGATTATTAGTCTTAAAGCATTTTTACATTAATTGTATTATTGTTCAGAATTTTAGCGAATTTGTTAGACATATTATTTTGACATACTACAATAGTTAAAAATATTAATTGGTGAGTTGTTTTATTTTTACATTTATGAATTTTTTTTATAGTTTTAAAATCAAAATTATTTCTATGGGCTATATTATAGATAATATTGAGGTAATTTTTATTTAATTGAATATATTCAAACCTATTGAATATTGATATAAAAATTATATTTTTCGAGACTAAGTGTGATTAAAATCATGTGGTATTATAGCATCGATTTGTATGTTTTCTGTAATGCTGGTATACATAAACTTAAATGATACTGTAATACATTTTATATAGATACAGACACAGAGAAATTTTAAAATAAGATATAAAGAACACATTTCTGAAATAAAAATAAAAAGACTGCCCTAAAATTCAAATTTCGCTAAACAAATTTAAGAAAATAACCATAATATAAGTTTTGATATTATAGACTTAGAAATATTAAATACCCAAAATAATATTTACATTATTAAGTTTTAGAAGAATTACACATACACAATGAAATATAGAAAAATAATTTTAATAAAATTTTAAATGTATAAACTGATTTTAAAAATAATACCTTATTTCGTTACATTTTAGATAAAAAATAATAACCAAACAATTTATATTTCTTAACATATGTATGTCTAATAATAACTCATTTTAAATAATCTGTCTTATTAAAATAAATTATTTCTATATAAAATGATCAATTTGTATAATTTTTTGCTATGTATTCCTAAACATCAACTAAACTAATTAAAAAATGTTTAATTCTATTATTCCTAAATGTGTCACAATCTGTATTAAAAAAAAAAAAAAAAAAAAAAAAAAACAAAAAAAAATCAAATTATGATACTTGCGATTTCTTTAAGAAAATGTTTATAAATTTAATTTTTTTTGAATTGTATACCTATTTAATTATGCTTTATTTTTCTATTTATTTAAAATATAAGGATATATTTTGTTTTACATTAGGGTTAGGGACTGGTTGTATGATGAAAAGTGCAAACAAACAGTAAGTTAATTTACTAATCTACTCAGCGCATCACTGTGCAGTATACCTAGTATAAAAATTATTTTCCTTCAAATTTTACTAATTGGTAAGTTATCTCCACACAATTGGTATTCAGATCCTGAATCCCTTTTATTGAATTTATATTCACTATTTGAAGAGGTATTAAATCCATCTCTAATGTTATCACTATAAAATTGTCTTTTATTACTTCTTGAATCTAGGTAAACAAAATACATGCCTAGAAGATTAAATAATATAAAATAACACAAATTAATAAAAAATAGTGAATAAATTAAAGAGTATAACCAAAAATGTTGTTACAGTTGGAGGTTGGATGGTATCAAAATATTTATTAATTGTAAAATTCCCTGAAAATAAAATTTAAAAATTGAAGTTAAAATCAAAAATTTTCAAAAATAATTGACTTTACTTTAATAATACCAATCGTTAATTAACATTTGATCATTTATTTAGATAAAAATAATAAATCAAACTGGACTGTTCTTATCTACCTATATCATTTCTTATACATTCCTTTTCTATGTAAACTTTTTTATTGCTAATAGTGCTAATACTACATCTTATTCTTATAGAACCATCTACACTATTCCACGGTAAATAATTATCACTAGCTTTTATACAGGAGTCTTGTGTTTTCATAAAAAGTGTCAATATTGTTACTAGATTGAAATTTCTGATGTGTATTGTCTGTCGAAAAAATTAGAAACCGTTAATATGAAGGCAGGTATAATAATATATTATGCATAATAGAATCAGTAAAAATTACTATTCGGAGATTTTTTTAAATATTTCATATTTTTCATCAATCCCAGACAAAAAACATTTCGATAATTTCATGTTCCTCTAATAAAATGATAATATCAATATTATTTTCAAATTTTACCCGTGACTTAATACCTCCTTAGTATGAAAAATAAAATTTAAGAACCTACTTAATTTTTGCTTTATGTTCATAGTGTCTTTCTATCCTACCATGGCATATGACCTAATTAAAAACAATTTTTTTATTAAATTGAGACACATGTAGTCTGAAGAATATTTTGTTGTCTTTATATTGTACAGCTAACCATTTTAATACAAAAATAAAGATTATTATTTAATTATTACTTATTTTGAAAATAGCACAGTGTACTCCAAAATTATGTGACTATATTAAATTAACACATATTCTTTGTCTCTTTAGAACCATTATGGTTAATTATTTTATTCTTTTATCAGTTTTATACATAGTTATTCTTTGGTTTTATAACCACGGTTAATGTATTTATCATTGATAAGATCAACTGATAAAGTGATGATGGCCGGTGTCATAGTATTTTGGCGGGTACCCGCCAAAGTACTAACAATAAGACTAATTAGACCAGCGTTTCCCAACCTTTTTCCCTCGCGGCACACTTGGCACTTACTTGGTACCATACTTTCATTAGATAATTTTTCACTACACATGAGGCATTGAGGTATACTAGGTATAGGCATTTCTCCACCACTCGACGTGAAACCAAATGATAAATAGCTTTCGTGATATTGTCGAATATAATTTTTTGATCGTACGTTAGCATTTTTACTCGCACTCACCTCAACATTAGGAGGATTGAAACTCGGACCAGGCAATTCCTCAACATCAACTCTATGAGCATTATTAGGATCAGGCAATTCTTCGCTTAATTTACGTTTCCTAATTAAAAAACGATCCATCGTGCGCTACACGTAGTACGAATTACGTAAAGCAAAAAGAAAAAATTTCCGTTAAAATAAAACACGGTAATAATAAATGTACTTCATACGACATTCATACGACGACAAACGACTAACATAACAAACTAACAAACTGACTAACATTTTAAATGAATTAATAAGAAATAGTGAACAATAAGATAAGATTCTCCCCGATAAGAGAATCGTTAAACTATTTTAACCAATTACTGAAATTTTACGGAATCGTTTATTAATAGTCATGGCATTTCGCGGCACACCCAGTTGGGCCTCGCGGCACACCGGTTGGGAAACCCTGAATTAGACTCATCGCGATACTCGTTCGACGAACTGGAATTGATGAACAAGTTTAGTATGTTTAGTATGTTTAGTATGCAGTTTAGTATGACGAAGTAATCCTGGTGGTTAGTAGATATTTCTAAGGTTATTTTTTTTTTAAATTTACATGAGTTTTGGTTCTAACCAGAGCGACCAACTATATAGTATGCACACGATATCCTCAAAATTAGACAATTTTAAAATAACACTTGGATTTAGTGGTGTTTTTCGTGGATTTGGAAATTTGTGTTATGAAATAAAATTATAATTTCGTCGTAACGTATTTCCTAGATTTTATCTAATAAAATATTCAACATTTCCTTCATTATTTTCTACCACATATGCTTCCAGTCAAAAAAGGCTAATTGTGTATGGTAATACTGCCATTACACTAAATGAACTACAATACTCTTTAAGTCTTTATCCTATTGCTTTGGTATACTTTGAAAGAAATAATAAATAGTAAGTTAAAATGAGAAAAAAATGTTTAGATTCTGAATGAAATTAGGAATGTACTAGATTTATAAAGATGTTTATTTATTATTATTATTATTATTTTTTTTTTTTGTGAACACTTTCTACCAGAAATCACACTCTGATTATCAAGTATAGCACCTTTTCTGAAACAAAATTTTCTCTGGGTGGTACTTTAGAGAGGTAATTTTTTTAAATTCTCATTAATATTTGAGATAATGAGAAAGACCTCAGTTTTAGGTTAAAAAAGATTCAAAATAAGGTTGTCAATGGCAAATTTTTTGTGTGATAAAATGAGAAAAAGAAATATGCAAAATTAAGTTTTTCGTTCAATTTTGTTAGCTACAGAAAACACCACAAAATAACACTTAATAATACAAATTACACAGAATAATTAATATATTGTGAATTTATACACTATATTGTAAATTATAACTCATGATAACCCATCTATATTAGAAATAATCAATAAAAACCATTTATAAATTCAGTACAATAACAATTATCTAATATTTGTATGGCACCGTGGGTTTATTAATATCTGTATAGTACCTATATAGAAGACTTATAAAAACTTTTATTATTATATATATATTAATATGAGTAATTATGTTTTTTTGTATTAATAGTGATATTGTCATAAATATGGATAAGGTGACCATACATTCATGTTTAAAATACATGGAATTTGTGAAAAAAGATTACTGTAAGTATTCTTATTTGCATGATACACTCGTCTTACTATTTATTTAAATTAATTGTATTTATTACAGCCTTGTATATTAGACTATGCAATGGTTCTAAGTGTCAAGTTGATATGGTACAATTTGTAGATGCTGTTTAAAATTCGAAAAAGAATCAAATGATACAATTAATTTAAACTTGAATCAAAACATTCAAGACCTTGTGAATCAATGTAATTGTGAAATATCTGTGAATAATTTACCAGAATGTGACTAAGTCAACCTATAAAAGAGGGATATGGAGTTTTGTGATGGACTTTCAGTTATATTATTATTAAGTAGTTAATAACTTGACTGTTTTTTCAAAAATATTTTATGAATTAAGTAATAAGTTTTTATTCTGCATTTATAATTATACTATTGTTGAATGTTATGGGAATAAACAGTATGATCGTAGATATTATTAGATTTTATTTTATTTTATCTTTTTCATTTCTTATAAGTTATAATTTTCAGTCAATATCCATTTTCCCTTTCAATACAAATTGATTTAATAAGGCAAATTTACTAGTGTAAAGGTTAACAGTGACAAAGTTATTTTATTACAGTGTATACCAAATATTTCAAATAATTTTTAATGTTTTGAATATTATATATTTAAATGGACATTAACCAACCATAGATTTTTGATTAATCATGAGTATTTATTACATAGTAGATAAGTCTATAGACCTAGAACTATGTATAGTTAATAGTAAATAATATAGGTGCCAATATTATTTAATTTTTTTTTTCAAAATCTTCAATATTATGAGTAGGTATTTTAGTGAAAATCAATGTAGACTTAAATTAATAATTTATATTTGTTTAAAGTAAAGCTGTAAACAAATAAATTATTAAATTGTTGAGTTCAAGATGTTTTAATTAATAAAGATATTGAAATGGGCCGTGCTGTTGAAGCTGCAGAAAGTATGTTTAATTATAGTACTATGATAGACACTTCATATTTTATTTTGTATAAATTTTATGTAGTACCTAAGCTCATTTTTCTTTTTTCAAAATGTTAATTCACTAAATCTAAAGGTTTCAGAAAAATGTGTAATTCATTTATATTTTTGATGTTACAAAAATATAAAATTCTGTTGGAAACCATGTTCAGACTATAGTGATACTCAATGATTTTGTTGTAGATGACATTCAGTTTTGGCCTGTTGTTTACAGGCCAACTTTATGTATGTTAACAGACAGTGTTCATCAAAATGAAAAAGTCATACAAGATAAATTTGGATGTTTATATTTTTAAAAACCATAAAAGGGCTCCAAAAGTTTAATTTTACAATAATTCTTAAAACCATAAGTATTATTTATATCAATAAAATGATTTGTAGAGAATACTGTTATAATAAATTACAATTATAAATTTTCATTATACTTTGTCATTATTGTAAATTTGAGTATTAAATCTGTCCTCTTATTTGGTTTACAAATTATTTATTTGAAATGTAATGAAAATCTAATCAATGGGTGTTCAGCAACTGGTTATATATCAAGGGGTGAAGGCAATATTTTTTCAATTCAAAACGATTGCAACGGGACAATGTTCTCTAGCGAATTATCATTATGTGCGAGCGATCTGTGTGATTTTGCTTGCACACACGAAGAGATTGTCACGGGATTATTATTATCATTTAATTATTAACAGTCCTTTACAGATGTTTGCGTAGTTCTTTGGTAGTCATTTTTAAAATGTCGAGTTCATTTAGTGATGAAGAAACAATTGTCACATACGATTTGTACAAAGTGTTTTATTCGATTAAAAAATCATTCCAAATAATGAGATAAGTAAATTATATACGTTATCAATCATTTCACTCAAATCACATTCAACTCAAAATGATTTGATACGATAATTAATCTATTATCACTTATTACTTGAGGGCATAGATATATATGAAATTTATTATTTCATATATCTATGCTTGGGGATACAAAGTGTAGAAAAAAATTTTTTACAAAAGGCGACCATAATCAACATAAAATCACTCACGGTCCTTTTATATAAAAGCGCTTATAACAATTACCTATTGGCTATTACTTATAAAAATGAAATCATAGATTAATCAATCTATTAATGATGCTATTTAGTGTTATATATTTTGTAATAAAACAAAAATGAATACACTCAATAAAATTGCCACCCCTAAAACTATTAGAATATCGCTACGCTACTATGGTCATTTGCCCCGCCCCACAGAAAATAGCTTTTTAATTAGTTAATTACCACTTTTTGAACGACTAAATCAATTAAAATATAGGTAGTTACTAGGTAGAGCTTGAGATTGCTCAAGAAAGACTGTCTTCCCAATCCTCCCTCCCTATTTATGTCTATAATTATGATGTTTCGATCACTATTACTTTATTCCTATTTCAAACACTTATTTCTATAGATGGTTAGCAGACGGCAGTAATATTTAATCGAAAACAAATTTTATATAAGTTTAGATTTATTATCATGCAAAAACTTAGTATTTGAAGTATAAAGTATGTATAATAATACATTAAAAAAAAAAATAAACAACTTAAAATAATGACTATTGACACAGGTGTATTCTACTAGGTACTAATAAAGAATGGAAATAATCATAATTACTAATATTTTCTAATACTTTCTTAGATATTTAAGATTGTAACAATTAAAAATCATTTTGATTTTGAATGAGGATAATTTATTTTGATAAAATGATGATTCACAGGGCATCATTATAATATAATATACCTAGTATTATGAATGTTGTTTTTTTTTTTTTTATGTTAATATAAACAATAACGTTTGAATTTTAAATTATATACTTAGACTTGATGTAAATATTTATGCAAATAGATGTAGGTAAATGTTTACATTTCAATAAAATGTGTCATTATTTTGTGCGTGTGTTTATTATATTATAGTAATGGTACCTAAGTATAATTTAAAATATATCAATTCATTGTCGATGTTTCAATGCTATTTAAGTTAATAAAATCGATAGTTAAAACAAAAACTGTATTATTACAATTACATAAATGCCTAGGTATATATTATTGTGGTGTAAACAAAATTTCATAGACAACTCGGTACAAAATAAAAGATTATACTAAATTTCACCAATAAGTTTCATTTTGTTCAAAATGTTATTGTTTTTAATTATCCTGTAGATACGAATACAAATTATGATGTTTAAATATGTTTCAATAACGCAAGTAAAATAAACCGCCAATTTTCAGTATTAATAATAAAGAAAAACGAACTTAAAGAATGGATCACAACTTGAATTATAAACTCCACCAGGAATAGAGAAGAATTATATACTATAAATTAAAAACAATAGGTCATTTGATTTACTTGATTTAATTTAAACTGTATTGCATTTCTTACGAAAATATATTACATATTTTAATAAAAAACTTTACTAGTTTATTGTTAACTAACAGTTATACTATAAAAACAGATTTCAAAACCACAGTCAAATACTAAAAAAGTTTGTTCGTAGGATAACCTAACCTAATTTTTTCGTTTAAAAAATCCGCGTTAAAAATTGATAGAAGTGGTTACAACCACAATTACATATAGGTTACCGTAAATACTAGATATCGCCTTAACCAACAATTAACAAGTCATTGTGTATCAGAATAAAGGTAAACCGCCAATTTTTCGTTTGTTTTGTTTGTCGTCTGGACATTTGTGTGCTACGGTGCTTTCATTTTTGCTCTACCCATAACGATTACGTGTCGATCTAATCGTCTTATAATATTTTCCATCCCACTATTCCTTACAACTTTTACACATTATTAATTCTTTGCCGTGTGCTTGCAATACAATCGCACATTTTATTTGTTTACTCAATTCATCGTCAACCTAATTATTTTGCACGTAAGCAATATACCTATTTGTAGTTATATTGGTATACAAATATGTAAGTACCTATTTTGTATATAATTTTTTAAATTGAAAATGTTTCACCTTCGTTAAGTTGGTTCACGCAGTTAATAAATGTTTTTTGTCTCCAACATGGATATATTACCTATAGTTATGTGATATTATTAATCATAAGACAATACGTTTTCGTCCCCTGTCATAATGATACTCTATAATAAGGAAGTGGAGGTAGTAGCATTTATACAAATCTAGTAAAATGTATTAATTTGTATAAGTAATATTTCTTGAATGTTCATTAGACATAGGTTATTTATGCTACTTTTATTAGACATAGTTTTAGCTATATTTTAACCTGAAGATCTCCAATTCAAATTCAAGGGTTTATAACAATTAAAATTGAATTGGTAGGTATTTTTCCATAATACACAAGGCAAATTAATTAGCTATATGCTAATTTTAATAAAATAATTAACTTCAGGTGTATCCAGAGGTGTACGTATATGTATATATTATTTACTGAATTTGAATCAATCTTTATCTGTAATTTGTTACTTAATAAGTATTACCTATTAATCATATTTTATGGGTAGGTATCTACAAAATTATCTAATTTATTATTTATTTTGTGCATTCAATTTAATCAATGTTTAATCGTATTTGTTTTAGATTTGTTTGTTTACTAGTTAATAATTACAATGGAACATTATATTGTCAGCAGCAATACTGCATTAGAACTGAAACTCGGTAATTGCATACATTTTCATGATTACATTGTTGATTAAATTTATATTTCAATTTTAATTTATTATAGTTCGTAAAGGGAGTGACATACATGATTCCAAAGCAGCATTTTACCCGGATATGACTTACCAAGTATTTGGAAATGTGTAAGTATTTAAATTAGTAAATATAATAACATTTAAATCAATTACATATTGTTTTAGCTTAATATTTATTTTATTCCAGGGAAAAAATATTTGGTTACAAAGACCTTGTTATTAAGATGTATTATGCAGCGTGTTCTCTCAAACTGTATATTAATATTAGTTATTCTTCAAAAGTGAATCCTGAACAATTTGGTGTAACTGTAAGTATTCAGATTTTATGTTCAAAGTAATTCAAGATACCTAAGAATTATAATGATAATCAGGGTTGGGATTTTATAGTAGTTGCATAATTCTTATAAGGTGCTTAAGAAAATTTACAGTAACCTTAAAATTTGTTTCATGACTCAGAAAACAAAGGCCACTCTCCCACTAATTGGTAATTTTTATTGTGTCTGTTTTTCCAATATATATAAATAGAACTTCTTCCATACATGCATTGTGACTATTGTGGCGACAATAAGAATTGCACGCCACAGAAATTTTCAGTTTCATTGTAATAGATAGTCATCTACAACTCTGGTGAATATTGCCAAAAAAGACTATCCTATTTTTCAAAAATGCTTGAATAAGCGAATCTTCACGAAACTCGTGTATGATGATTTCATAATTTTTATTTTAGTTGCATCATGTCAATCGCATTGTGCTAGTGGGGGAATAGCCTAAATCAGTGGTTCTTAACCTCTTTTAGTTCAGCGCCCCCTTTATCGTAATAACTAACTGCTAACGCCCCCTCATGTAAAATCAAATTTTATTTTTATAAATATATAGATATTTATTTATTCATTGGTATATATGCATATATGTATATATGTATATATGTATAACATTATTAATTAAAGTATAAACTCTTATTTTTAGATAGTAATGGTTATATTTTACACCACTTAACAAAACAATTTTACTTATTTTACTTTACTATACAAAAAGATTTACTTAACTATGAAAAAAAAAGTTATAAAATATAAAAATTATACCAATCAATGACTGCCCTGAGTCTGATGAGTAGCTGCTAATTTGGTTTTGTCTGATTTGATATTGGTCAAAGCTAATCGTAGATCACCTTTGTTGCAAATGTCCAATCGATTTCTTTGTTTGGTCAAAAGCTGAACAACAATGCTGAATCCTTTTTCAACTAGATAAGTTGACGGAAAAGAGAGAAGCAACAATTTAACTTGTTGCCATAGTTGTGGATAAGTGTCTTTAAGCTTGATCCAGGCAAGCTCATAACCGACTTGCTTAAAAACAAGTTGTGCCTCACAGTTGTGTTTAAGATCGATAAACTCCATTTGTAAATGAGGTTCGAGATCTTCCACAGATTCAAACGAAAATGGATCTAAAATCCAATTACAGATTTGTAACTCAAGTAGGTCTTGAAATCTTGATTTCATGTCTTTTGAGCTGCAAAATATGATCAGTGAAAATTAGAATTTTGTCATCTGGAATTAAACCCTTTGTGTCTGAACACGACTTGAGATTCGGAAACTGACTCAGTTCTTGACAATTTATGTGTGTTCTGTAAAGATCAAACTTAAAAATGAATGAGGAAATTATTCCTTTGGNGTTGCTTCAAATTGTCTTTTAAGACAGGATCAATTTTATTGAAAAATTTAATGATAGAGTCAAATAATACAAAAACGACATAAACATTTTCCTTTGGAAAGCCACCTTACTGCAGTATGCAAAAGTAATCTTTCAAAATCTTCATCATTATCATGACAAAGTTCTTGAAACATACGGTCATTGAGTGAACTTGCTTTAATCTTGTTTACAGCTCTTATGACGAATTGAAGGGTTTCGTGCAGGACACCGATTAAGTTTTTAGCAGCTAAATGTTGGCGATGTATAATACAATGAACACAAATAACACCTGGGACGGCTTTTTTTAGGTGGGCTATAAACCCAACATGACAGCCAGTCATTGAAGGAGTGCCATCCGTTGTGCATGCAATAATATTTGTCAAGGGGATATTTTTTCTGGTAAAATATTCCTCCACCACTTGAAAAATCGATGATCCTTTGGTATCAGTGATCAAACTTGTAGCAAACAATACTTCCTCGATTTCTTTAATAATGTTCATTAATAAACCTCACGTAAGCTAGTTATTATCTGTCACAGTTGATTCGTCAATCTAAATTGTATCAATTATTTCCTTGAGAGCCAGTAAAATAAGAGTTTCAACGATTGAATGAGGTTTATTGTTTTTTGCTATCAATAAGGACACCTTGTACGAAGTGAGAAATCATTTATCAAGATCAGATGTTTGTATTTTAAATAAACTATTCACAGTAGATCGTTTTTCAATTTTTGCTTTAAGAGCCTGAAAAAAAAAGAAAGTGGTTTCTCCAGTTTATCGGAATGAATTTTTGATTTATGATCTTTCAATCTTGATGGCTTCATTGCCTCATTTGAAAATGTTTTTTCACATATAAGGCAAAACTGTAACTGTACATTAAGTGGTGATGCGATAAAACCAAACTTTAGGTACTCTACTAAATACTGACAGCACTTCTTTTTTGCACTATGATCACTCATTATAAAAATATTTATATTTCAAATTACTTAGTTAAAATTAAGTCTGTTAATTTTGTCAAACACACTCGTTTATTCGAAAGCGTAGCGATATCAATCACGCACTACAAGATACAGTATACAATAGTCTAGTAATGGTTGAAAATGTAAAAATTAATCTATTATAAACAAGACCTTTTATGTTCTCGATATGTAAAATGCGATTAGATATATACATGCGAGTACATATATATAAATAATTACAAAAAATACATACATTGTATCGCATAATATGAATTTATTTGGGTTATTCCTATATGAAATATCGAGAACAATTATATGTAGTGGTAGTCGGTATCGAGTCATTACTGTTTTATCCTCTATACACATAGCATTATCGCCGTTTCCCCATAATTTTTAAATCATTTTTATAATCATAATTTTTAAACTCATATAAGTACAATTTATTAATGTAGTTATATACAAATAGGTGTCCACCGAAAAATATATTTCCGTGATTGTCCAATTATTTGTAGTGTTATATAATATTAATAAATTGTTTTATTTTTAATCTCAGAGTTTCAAAAAGCTCAACGCCCCCTTCAAAACTATCGCCCCCCCAGAAAGACCGAAATGCTCCCAAAGGGGTGGTATCGCCCCGGTTAAGAACCACTGGCCTAAATGATAAAATTGTATTTTGCATATTTGGCAATTTTTGAGATTTTTGTACTACTTTTACCGGTTCTTATATCAAAATGAGTTATAAGTTAAATTTTATCTAATAAACAATAATTAATAATAACTTAATTATTATTTACTATAAATTATAATTTATAATATATTAACAATTAAAATCTTAATATTATTTAGTGTTTCTAGATTATTGTCATTCAAATTTTTTAATTAAATATAGATTAAGTAAACAGATTATGCAAGGAGGTATCTTATTTTGTTATTTTATATGACTATGATTAATATTAAGTCCTATGAGTGTTGGAAGCCTTGTATAGTGTACTTAGTTTACTACAGTTAATGTAGTTTACTAAATACAGTAAACTAAATAAGTAAACATAGGTTATTATTTTGTCAAATATATGAATGTAAAATAACCAGTGTGAGAAGATTTAATATAATTCAGCATTTAAAAATAGATAAACATTTTCACATAAAAAAAGGTCATCTAAATAAAAAAAAAAAAAAACTAACTCATAAATAATACTTATTAAATTTCTGTTTTTCTTTGTTTACATATTTTTTTTATCACATATTTACCTATATTTAAGCTCATATTACAGTGTATATTTATGTAATTTTAAGTACTATAAAATCCCCACCCTGGTGATAATAAATTATTTTTGAAAACAAACTTTGTATGTGATAATATATGTAAATAGCATTACTACTATGTTAATAAAATAAATATTTATATTAAAAATAAGAATAATGCATTTTAAAAGTAACAAAATATCAGCTATAGTTATAAAAAAAAAATACCTATAAGAATATAAAATAAATTCATTAACAAGAAATATTGTTTTTTTTTCACCATTGATTGAATTCAAATTTGTAACATACTCATCATATAATGGCATAGCTATTTTAAATTTCTTTCAATTATTGGATGCAAATAGAATTCTTCAAATTATAGTAATTTAAATTTGATAAAAATACTATAATTTAAAATTTATTAAATGAAATTAATTTAAGTAGACTCATTTTAATTATTTTATTTGGTTCTGAGATCTTGAAATAAATATTAATTATTGCAAGTATTATTATTCAATTAAAATGTTAATTTTATAGGCAGACAATATAATGGATAAGCTTAAAAGTTACATCAGCCCTAGCTTTTTTACAAATATTGATTTATTTGAAAAATGTCTTGAAGATGAATCTCGTTATAAACCTTTTGGAATTCAACTCGATCAGTTTTTTTTGAGTAAGCTATTTATTTTTATTTAAACTTTAATATTTTTAATGGTATTTTTAACTTCTGTATTAGACATTAAAGATGAAAAACAAGTGTTTGAAGTATATGTAGTTGAAGGTGAAAATAGTTTGTTTAAAGAATATTTTGATCAACTTCAGACATTTGTATTGTGGTACATTGATTCCTCAAATTTTATTGATATTGATGACACAAAATGGACAATTTTTATAATGTAAGTTGTAATATAATTTTTTATTATGTATTTTATTGTCACTGGAAATTTTACAATTAAAAGTAAATAAAATTAGTACTGGTTATGATATCACTATGATTAAACTTTTGAATTAGAATTTTGTGATAAAAGCTTTCAATAGTCAATATACAGGTTATAATAGGACTATTTAACAAAGGTTATAAGGTTATAACCTATTTTTCTATTGAATATTTAAAGTTTTTTGTCTAATTACTAGAGCTCTGAGCTATAATTTATACAGTTTAATTTATTACATTACAACTAGAAATTTAAGTTTAGATTTTTTATAATCAAAGATAGCTAAATTATAAGCTAACTGTTAAATAAATTATTGATGTTTGAGAATTAATTTTTAAACAATGTTTAAAGTTTGTTAAAATTAAAATGTATTTCTTGCTAATTTTGCTATCAATAACTGATGAACAGACTTTCAGCTAAATTAATATGATATGAATATTATCTTCAATATTATATATCAAATTGGACAAAATTTCATGGAAAAATCAAATTAACCATTTGAAAATTTAAAGATGTCATGTTTCAACAAACTTTAAAAATTGTTTAAAAACAATTGATTTAACTTTGATAAAAATGTTGACTCCAAAATGAGATTTACAAAATAGCTATCCCGATTTTTTTTTTTTAAATTTTAAATACAATTATACATTTTTTAGTTTACATTCTTAAAAATTTAACTAAAACCTATTTAAATTATAGTGCAAAGATGTAATAATAATTAAAAACAATTTTTTTTTTCAAATATTCAATTGAAAAAGTTAATATATTTGTTAAATAGTCCTGTTACACTGTATTTTATCATTTATTTTTCCTATTTTGTTTTAGAGATAAACTACATTTGAATACAAAAAAAAATCGGTAAAAATAACTAATATATTGACTTTGATTGTTTAATCCATGTTAAGATACATTTATTTATATTATTTCTTTGGAAACGGGGATAACTTTGATTTGACTCATTTGTCAAATTAATTGGTGATCGCAAAAATCACACTTGTTACAAGAAGTCAATTTTATATGGGGTACACAAAATTAATTTCTAGGTCCAGGTTATGTATAGTTTTTTTTAACACACCGGAATTTCAGAACTTATTTAAACACACAAGGAGCAGTTGGTTTTTACACACAAAATGCACTTATTATAGTTGACAAAATAATAGAAATTAAAATGATTTCATTCAAAATTTTGTAAAGTGTAGTTTTTACAATCACTGATTCAAATAATTTAAATCTAGCCCAATCTTTGGTTATAGGCCTGTAATTTCTAATTAAGCTACAATCATTAAACTTTGAGATAGGAAAAATATTACAATATTACAATACTTCTAAACTGCTAAGGAAAATGTTTTCTTCTAAGACATTACAAATCAACATATAACTGCATTATTTTAACAATAGAATAGGTATGAGGTCTGGGCAAGGATTAGTATCAGATTTTAAATGTCTTAGTTTTATAATATTTCTTCCAAAGAAAGTGAAATATTATATGTTACAATCATCAGTATCGTTACCATTCCTATGAATAGTACTAACTGGATGATAAAAACAGAGTTGAAGTAGTTGTTACACATTTCTTTTATTTTAAATGAAATATAATTTTGTATATTGCCATCGTAAATTAATAAGATATTGTAATTATCTTGTTTTTTATCTATAATATAATTCCATAAATAACAGAAATTAATTTTTTTATAGGGTCCAGTTGTATATAATTTCAAATATTTGAATGTTTTATATTTTTGTCTTACATCTGCAAATTTGATAAATATATATTAATATATAATATTAATTAATAATATGTATATATATATAAATATATTATTTACAATCAGCACATGTTTTAGTACAGATATTTAAATTTATTTTATTAAAAATTTAAATTTCTGTTGTAATTAATAAAAATACATATAATTATCATTGCTATTAAGTATAGTAGGTAATAAATAATAATAATAAAATGTATTTACACTATTAATGTAAATGAAAAGTGTATTTTATTTTATTAAATAATGTGTAATTTAAGATATGAAATCTTCAAAAACGAAAATGGTGATAAGTGTTACTCACCAGTGGGATATTCAACTGTTTATGAATATTATGCTTACCCAGATAAAATTAGACCAAGAATTAGTCAAATGTTAATTTTACCACCATTTCAAAGAAAAGGATTGTGTGCTAAATTGTTGAACTCTTTGTATAAACATTATGCTACCAAAGCTGATGTTGTTGATATTACAGGTATATAAAAATTTGTCTTATTTAATTTTGTCTAATGGATTTTTGAACAACATTTAAATCTACTTTATTTGTATTAGTTGAAAGCCCGAATGATGAATTTCAACTTATTAGAGATTTTGTAGATGTTGATAATTTCCATCGTCTAGGAACATTTGATAAAGAAAAATTTAAAAAACTGCATTATAAAAAGATGGTTGAAGAATTCAAAGATCTTTACAAAATTAATCAGGTATAATATTAATATAATGTTAAATGTATAAATATAGTACTAAATTTAAAAAATTATTTTTAATTTTAGAAGCAAATTCGCCGTGTTATAGAAATTATACTATTGGAAGTTACTAATCGATTTGATAAAGAAGAATACAAAAAATATAAAGATTTTGTGAAATCCAGACTAAATTGGCCATTCCAAGTATACATCCAGTTATAAATGTCATTAACATAGTCAATTTTTGACAGTAAATATTTTTAAATTTTTTTTTTAGAAAAAACCAACAAAACTTATGTTAGCAATGCCAGCAGAAGAAATTCAAAAAATTCAAAAACCAGACTCTATTGAAAAATTAGAAGAATTAGATTTTGAGTTTAAGGAACTTGAGTTTTTGTATGACAAAGTGATCAAAAGACTAGAAATTAATCGTACAGCATAAGAGTGTATGTATGCAATTTAATTTTTAAATAATTGTTCTGTATAAAATTATTTGTATTATTTCCATTTCAATTTATTTGATATGTTCCTTTTTTCAAAACAAATTATGTTGTTAATTTTTCATTTTAATAATATACTATTTGTATTAAGTACTCAGTTTTTAAAATAATATTAAAACATATTTCAAAAATTTAAAAAAAATAAATGAAGTAACAAAAAAGTGACACTTGTTTTATATTCTATACTTTAAATTATAGATTTAACCTATATAATAGTCTTTGTTTGGTCAACAAGTACTGTAAGTTTAATATAAGCAATAGAGTCAATTTTCAGAGTCAATATCTTTTAGATGCGACTCATTACTAACCTTTTTAAACCTTGAATCACTAGAAGCAATATGAATAAGACTAGATTTCTGTTTTTTTTTTTAAATTACTCAATGGGAATATGTATTGTCCAACTTTACTTGCCAAATTAAATTATGTGTCATTTCAGTCTACAAATTAGTTTGAATACTATGATTAGATTCATAATATTTGTAAATAAGTTTAATGTTGATCTTTCTTTATGTGATTTATTAATGTTTCAATATGTATCTAAATCTTTTATTTTTTAAAACCATCAGTGTCATAACTACATTGTATCATTTTATGTTAATATCTTATTGTACGCTTGAAAATTACTCTGCATTTGAGTTACTTTCCATCTAAATAATACAAAAATATAACAAAATTTCCTCTTATATTTTGTGACCACTCAAATATAAAAAAAACCTATTTATATGCTGAATTGTATGAAAGACCATAACATAATGATCAATAACATCAATTATTTCAATGAGATGATTTACTGGTGTAGAAATTAATTTTATCTTTTATCCATTAGACAACAAATAATGTTTAATTGTATCAATAATATTTAAAAGCTCAAATTTAGTTTCATAAATATTATCTAACAGTTGTATGCTATTTTGTTTATACTGAATTATCATTGTAAATTGTATACCATTGAACCACAACCATGGTAATTTTTTACAGAAATATGTATACTATCTTGTGAAAATCTATAAGATATAATAATTGTATTACTAATTATCCATAATAAAATATATTAATTATATAGTTTTATCTTTATTATATCATGGATTTGTAAATTGTTTTAATTATTCTACTAGTATTTAGATTCTTGAGGTTATGATTTTTTTTTTTTGAGACACATTGATAGAAATCTAGATCATTATATTAAATAATATGATGAATTCTATTATTTTAAATAATGTTATAAATATTTACCAAGGCAATCAAACAAATTAACAAATTATTATAAATTTAAGTAAAATTATTTATTAATATAAATATAGCAGTTATAACAAAAATTGTTAAATGGCACAGTATATAATATTGTCATTGGTTTAACTTAAAAACAATTCATGATTTTTAATAATTTAAAATTTTGATAAAAAAAATAACCATACATTTATCATAAATTCAATACATTTTTTTTTATTTTCAATAAAAGCTGTCTAAAATAAAACTCCAATAGAACTACAAAATAATTTTTTGTTCATCACATGTCCCCTTTTTACAATACAAATTTTACTGTATAAGCAAAATTCTGTTTTAGAACCATTTAAATTTGTTTTGCACAGTGTTTTTGATTTATTAAGGATACATCTTAGACAGATTTTACTGTATTTTTTATTTACCATTTGGTTAAAATTAAGACATTCCAAATATTTTAAGTGCATTGTAAGATGTAGCTAAAGCAACTTCTTCTGGTTTTTTATTAATAAAAGCAGCTAATAACTCCACTAAAATTGGTAATGAACATGGTTCGTTTCTGTGAAAAGTACAATAACGTTGTAGGAACCCAAGAGATCTGTAAAAAATAAATTTTAAACAATATTTCAATTTCTCAAAATAACACATTTATATGAATCTTGTAAGAACCTTATACTCAAAATGTAATAATCATAAATACCTTTGTGTCAGACTAGATTTTACTGTGTCGGTAAGATTTGCTGCCCTTGCATTAGGATACATGAATGGAGAATCTGATTGGATTAATATTCTATCCAAAGTTAATATTCGTGTACTCAAAAGTTGTTTTAATCCACTACCTGAACTATCTTTACAAAGACCACCTACACATTTAAAAAAAAAAAAAAAATAATAATAATTAAAAGAAGATAATTTTCTTTTTAATAATATATTTCATATTAAAAGACTGACCGGAAATTCCAATATACATTCCCAAATCAATGTACTGGGAAGCTTCTTCAAAAGAACCAGTAAATGAATGTAATATTACTGGTAACAATGAAGGCATATGCGATTTTATAATACACAGAAAATCTTCATGTGCCCCTTTTTGATTTACCATAATAGGTTTTTTCATCTCTATAGCCAATGATATCTACACAAGAACACATAGTTTAATATAATTTTAAAATGTTTTTAGTCTACAATAATAGGTATTTAAATAACATGCATAATATAATACAATAAATTATTCTAACCTGTTGCCATAATATGTCTGCGAATAATAACACATATGATATACAATGTTATAAGAGTAAGTATAAATTAATTCACTTATAATTAAGTATTAAAATGTCCTTATTACCTGTAGTTCAAAAACTTTTCTTTGCATATCGGGTGTTGAAAAATCTTTATTATAATCCAAACCACAAATTCCTATAGCTACGCATTCAGGATTTTTGGCAATATTTTTTAATTCATCATAATAATTATCTTCCCAAGATTTCGCTTCATGTGGATGGATGCCTGTTAATTTAAAACATTTTTTATGTGTGTTCAAATTTACAAAATCATTCCTATTTGAGTATTAGTACTTAGGTACAACTTGGAGGTAGGTAGGAGAGGATGAGCCATTACGGCCTCACAGTTATAAATTAATAAATGTTCTATCTGCATGTATTTTTAAATTAAAGAATTATTTAATTAATCCATTTATCCATCATTAATTTGGTAACAGTCCAATATGAGGAGTTTAGATCAAAATCTATACTCTGTGCCATGAGAGAGCATGTTGGATCTCCGCATCATTTGTTAATCAACCAGGCCATTGTATATCCTCCATGCATTCAAATTTTGCCACCAATGAAGGTGAGTATGCGCAGAGCCATCCAATTTTTGTTATCGCACAGCATGCTCTCTTGTGGGATAGAGTATAGTTATACAATTGTTTTAGTACATAGTACTAAGTGTTCCATATAAACTTAAAACTCCAGTGGTCAATTTAGTTAAATAATTGATTGTTAGGTAGTTATAACTTAACCTTGTTACAATCTAACAATATGATAGATATAAATTGCTATAAGGTAATTAGAAAATATTTAGGGTATATTAACCTGCAGTTGAGTACAGTGCACCGGGGTATATTCTGGCAAGTCTTAATGCTTCTTTGCTCGTTTTAAGTGACGTACAAGGGACGATTATTTTTTGAACTCCTATAAAACGATTAACAAGTAAGTATTAAATTATAAAAACATTTTATCGTTGATTTGTCAATTATTTTTAGAATTTTGTAGTCAAAATGTAACCCTTTTAATTTCATCATGCACATCATTCTGTCTCTTCATATGTCACAAGCTTATAACTTCGTCACTTCCCATTGCTTTTGATAAAATTCTACATGAAGGTATTTTTTGTGAACCACCATATAGTTGTGTAATCAAAAGATTAAAAACATAATTTAGGGGTAGGTAACTTTCTAACTTTTTATACATACAACTGAGGAGTAGAAGTTTAATTTTAAAAAGGTCTTTAAAAATGTAATAAAGGTTTGTATTTAACATTTTAATATACAGATAATTTTTTTGCGACATGTAAGCTCTTGAAGTCGATAATATTATGTCCCCTTCCCTTTAACTTCCCAACCATGTGATTAAAAATTCTGAAAAACCAAGAAAGTAAAACTTTTAAAGATAATTTGTTTGAATAAAATATTTTAACTAGGTAGTTATGTCAAATACGGCAAGCACTTTGTCGGTTTTTTTCACTAACCCGAGTCTTTTGCTCGTTGCAATACCGATTCTAAGTCCCTGCTGAATTTCTTGTTGACCATATTCGACCCTGCATCGATTAGCAGATAGTTGTCGTAATTTTCTTTCATCGGGTCCGGATGATTGACTTTGACGGCGTCGTTCGGGTGACAGGCCATATTTTGTACAAACACTGAATGTCGTCCGTTCAATACGACAAAAATTGTGCATATATTATGTAAGTAATTTTATTATTATTATTATGAGGTATTAATAATTTATTACGTGTTGACGTGTAGTATCGAGTGTGACCGAAACGAGATGACTACAATTTGGGTAGATACCTACAATAAATGACGAAAATATTAAAACATTTCTAATCAACAACTAATGACAAGCACCGTGCGTTCGGTTAACGGTAAGGAATGTGGCCTTGCGACTTGCAATTTGTGTGACAACGGTGATAATATTCCGATAATTTCACGTACCTACTATTATTAATACAGCCTACAGAATTTGTGTCAGTGCACGTCAGAGTGCTTGCCGAAGTTCACGGTAAATACGGTAATTCCGTGGTTACGGTCTACTATGATAACGATTGATAGTATATTGTGGAAAATTTAATCATCATTCTATAATCATGAACTTTTTACAATAAAATAATAATAATTAAATAATTGTTAATATTATTTTATCTGTATGAGGCATATTATTATTGTTATATTATAATATTTGGTTTGACTTTCAAGTGTACAGTGAATAGTGATGGGATCGCAAAAATCAAAATGTATTTGGTGATAGTGATGGACGATTCGTGGTGGTGAATCGATCTAATGAATCGTTCAGAAACTCAGATAGATACCTAATAGTAACAATGTTCTTATAACTCATATATTACAACATCAAAAGGAAAATGTATTAAATTTCTAAACCATACTACGATTTATATTTAAATATTTAAACTTTAAATTGATCGTTTTTGTATGAAAAGACATGTTATGCAAAAAATGTTTATTATTGGACCAACGATTCTCAAAGATCGATTCGGATCGCCCATCGCTATTTGATGATCGGTATGGAAATTAAAGCATCGGGATCACGAGATCACGATCGTAAATTACAAAATGGATACAAATATTTAAGTAGTATTTTTGTACTTTGTATATAATATAACTCTAAAAGATTGCTACTTGCTAGCCAAGTGGGCAGTAGCCAAATATTTTGATTTCATTGCAAATTACGTAGCCCGTAGGGGGCGGCCACAACTACGATAATTCAGTACTTTGAATAAATCATGAACCGAACATATAACTCTGCATTTAAAATGTAACGAATACAATTACTCCGATATTATTGCACATAATGAGGAATGCGTGAAAAAACCGAAAATAAATCAACCGACAGTTTCTTTCAGCCGAACCGTATTTTAGCCGATAAATATTTGAACTGATAATATTTTATCCGAAAATATTACCACCGATTGTAATAAAGGGATAAGGTTAGATCTTCCAATAAACGATAACGCGTGATAAGAAATAAATAAAGAAATTTTGTATATATTATTTTGAAATGAAAAATATTGCCATTAGTTTAATATATATATTCTAAAATGCAAGCATTAAAGCATTTTAAAAATATTAAATTTTATTATTCCTACGTAAAAGTCAACAATTTCATATATGAAAATTGAGTTGGACCAATTGGTTGCAACTAGTAATGTCTTATCTTAATAATGTTCAGTTTTCAATCGAATATTTGAACAATTGAACATTTTAAATGTTTATAAATGGTTGAAATTAAAATAAAATAATAATTTAAATTTCATTTAAATAATACATAAGTGTATCATAGAAAATAAAGAAAATATTCAAAATGTGGTCGTTTAATTATTTCTATTTGGTCAAAACTATAATGTTGGGTTATAAAATTATAACCCAACATTTCCACGTTATATCAACCTTTTCTGATTAAAAACAATGATAAGAAATTAATAAGCTGATAACCAGTAGAATTCTAGACGTTTCGGCCAAACCACGTTCATATTTCGTTTTATTTTCAGCTCAAAACAATGTCTGCGTAAATATTTTCTGATAGATTAATGTTCGGCTTAAATACAGTCGACTGAAATATTTTCCGATGATTTATAGCCCTACCCATAGTGCGAGGCGTACAACAAGCAGCGTTAAATCTGTACATTTTCCTGAGTGGGGGCCCACTTCCTTCAAGCCATGTGTCATTGATAAAAATATAAAAGATAAGAGAATTAATTGTAATTCATAGGTAATTCGTTAAGTTTGTTTTGTTGTATAAATATTTAATTAAGATATATTTTTTTAATTTTACATATATAAACCTGGAGTTTCAAAAGTGTCTTCCGAGATGATCAGCTTGAATAAACAAATATTTTTTCTTGGTATATTATCATTAGTGCATGCTGCTTATTCAGCAGCTCAACGTGAGTATTACAAAATTGTACTTATTGACTTATGTTTGGATTTTAGCATTTTAAATATAATTAATATATTTTTGACAATAAATTTAAATTAAATATCTAGAATAATAAATGGAATTACTGAAATCTTAATATGTTAAAGTACTATTTTATTTGTGGATCTAAGACAATTCATTCCTAGACAATCCGTTCCCACAAAAAAACGTCATATACGGATAGTCCGTCTCTGGTAAATTTTTTTTCAACATGTTTTTATAAGATTAAGTTTTAGTACATTTTTCCTAACATTTTTCTTATCACTTACAATGTTTAATACCAAAATAATTTTTGAAACATAAAAAATGTAATATAATATAGGTAGCTTGAATTATAATTTAAAAAGAAGTTAAAGTCAAAATGGTCTGAATAATAATGTCTAAATAATTTAAAAAATAATTTAAAAAACATTTAAAAAATAAAATTGAAAAAATAAAATAAAATAATAATTAGAAAAATCAATGTTTAATAATGATACTTGTCTTAAACTATATAAATAATTTTAAATTTTAACTTTTGAAAAATTGATACTAAAACTATGACAAATAGATATGGATATTATTTTTTCTGTGTCGATTACAGATTTCATAAAATTATTTCAAAACATAATGTTATAAAAAAAAGTGCTGAAAATAAAAATACCAGGGGCAGATTGTATAAAATTATGACGAGTACGGATTGTACGCATTTGAAAAATTTTCGCGGGTTCAAATTTTCTATTCCCCTTTATTTGTGTTATTAATTCTGTTTAAACAATGTTAAAACTTTAGTTTCTAGAATAAAATTGAACTAAAATAATAATACATACTACACAGTTACTTGTACAAAATTAAATAAATAAATAATTGAAAAAAATTTCAGCCTGCATACTGTTGGTTTTTTTATGTTAGCTTTTAACTTTATAAGTTTCTAAAATATAATTTAAATTATAGTTTTCTGTAAACAATTTATTAAAAAAAGTGCACATTACTTTATTTGAATAAGATAATAGTATTATATTAAGAATGTCATAATTTAATAATTAATAAAATAACCAATAGAGGGGTGTTTATGAAAAATCTAAAACATAAATATTTAAACAGCAAAATCTGATAATTTTGTGTCTGACATGGTGCAGTTTCTAGTTTGAAAATCAATTTTTATTTGTTAAATCAGAAGTTCCCATCGTTTTTTACTCAACGCTCATTTTGGTTTTTTTTAAAAACTCACCTCCATTTCCCAGTAAGTTAAAATAAAAAAATGTTAGATTCAGCCATTCATTTAATGTGAAAAACTATTTTTCTACACTTTGTTCTTGGACATTTTATTTTTTAATTATTTCTTTATTAATAATACAGGACAAGCCCAAACATATAAGTAATATAATAGCAATTCAATAAAACAAGTAAAACTTCAGAGGTTAAATGAAGGGTCGACAATATGCATACGGTGAGGAAGAGGAGAGTTGAGAGCAGAAATTGGAACCGAACTTAAAAGAACTGGTAGACCAGATTAAATCGGAACCAGAGTTTTTAAAATATTGAGAACCAGAACCGGAATGAAAACCTTTATTAAGTTAAATAAAGTATTGGAATTTTTAAATTTAATAGGTTCTTTTAGGTTCCAAAATATAATTATTTTATTTACATACATTAGTATAAGCTATAAACTTTAAATAGTATAAATAATTCATTAATATAAGATCATCTGAGATTTCTAATATTTCTCATTCTTTTAATTATAAAGATATACAAAATCTGAATTCCAAATAGGTATTTAAATTTAACATTTAAAATTATTATTCTTTTCGAGTTTTGATTACATGTGAGACATTTATTACAATAATATTAATTGGAAATGTTTTTCCCAGTAAACCCCATAATTCACACAGATTATTGCCATAGTATACAAAAAATGTAGGTCAATAAAACTTTTTCCATATTTTTGTAAGAAAATTATAGACAAAAAAGTAAAACAAAAATTAATAATTTATATTACGTGCCTACTAAAAATCAATTGGAACTGGTATCAACATTTTTAGGAACCAATACCTTTAATTTTGTTTTATTAAAAGACCGGTATAGTTATTTTATTTTTGGAGAACCAGTACCGGAACCGATAAATTTAAAAGGTTCCAGTCCCTGATTGAGAGAGTAATTAGAAGAAGAAAGTGGAATTAAGAATGGTAGAGAAAAATGTATAAGACAAAGTGGAATTTTAAAAGAGAGTTGAGATCAAAGAAAGAGAACCTATTTTGCCAGATATGAGATTAGAGAGAAAGATAATTTAAAAAAAGTGCCTGCAATCAGCAGCCTTAAATCATGGTGAATAGAGGAGTACTCATGAAGGGATATTAAAACAGAACGCGTTTAAATTTATATTAATAAAAACTGTATTTTTTTAAATCAAAATAATATTTTCAAGAAAACAACTCAAATTTTCAAGTCTTGTTCAGAATTAAAATTTATTTATTACTTTTAAATTGTACATTTTCTTTATAGTCATAAACTATATTATATCAAATTGTTTATGATAACAGATCGGTCTTACTTACGAATAACTGAACAAACATTTGATGGATTACCCTTTGATGTAAGCTTTAAAATCGATGAAATTAATAATAATTGGAACAAAATTTAATGATATTTCATTTTTTTAGATACTTATGCAAGGTATAGTTAGCCTTGGTATGTCTATGTATGGGATATTGTATTCGGCTGGTGATTTCAAGGAAATAAGAGCTATGGAAGATTTAGGACTCAAAACATTGGAGACTTTACATAATACACCTTCATTTTATATATTTAATCATAGGGGTAAAGCTATATTTTCAAGCCTTTAATTAGCCTTACTTATTTAATCTATATATATATATATATATATATATATCTATATATAGATATATATAGATATATATATATTATGTTGTAATATTTTATAATTGTTTTTTTTTTTTTTTTTTTTTTTTTTTTATATTTAAATTGTATATGGAATTTGTAATTCATTAAATGGGTGACCCCAAATAGTTGAAGAAGCTATTGAATGTGTGATCTACAATAATTATAAGGGTAAATTTGTTAATTTGCTCAATTTGTTTATCAAACTATATGTCACTTAGAAATTTAATATCTTGTATGCTAGAGTCATTTGATGCATTCTGTCTGTTCCTCTTCTAACAATTTTTTTCATCTAATTATCAATCAAATGGAAAATTCCAATAGATTGATAGTTAAAGAATACTGATTTTAATATTTTTGTTTAATTTAATATCAATTTTCTGTAATCAGTTAGCTATTAATTTACTTTTTTTTTTAACAGTCAATTTAGTACAAATCAAACATAAAATACACATGAATGATACAATGATAACTGAGTATAATTTGAGTAGTTATAGTGAGTGAAAATGAAAATGAAAAATGAAAATTTATTTATTATTGTTAATAGATTTTATAAATATCATGAACTTGTGCTTGATAGTTATCCATCATTTAATGGATTTAAATAGATTTCTATTGAGAGGCAATCAGATATTTAAAATTTTATTTTTCATAAAATTACGTTAAATTTCTAATTTGATTGATCATCAAGTTTAATGCAAATCATACATTTACTACTTATAAGTTATTGTATCAAATTAACTATTTTTTTATATTTTATATAATATTTTCATGCCATCATGCTATGTGAGAGGGAGAGGTTTTTTTGTGTATTAATTCTATTTTGTTCAGACCTATCTCACAAGACTAAAGGTTAAATTTAACTTCTTGGTAATTTTTTTTTTCAATATATTTTTATTGTTATCATAGATGTATGCAGGAAAAATATACAAATAAATTGAAAAACAATGGAAAAATATTTTCAGTCAATAAGAGATAAAATGATAATTGTACATCACACATTCAACAAATATTCAGCATTTTAACTGTATATTTAGAAAATCTAGTTACCACTTCTTATTTACAAATGAAGTTTGTGACATTTTACCATACAATAATAGTATATTGTATTAAATTAGGGTTATACAAACACCATGATATTTAAAATTAAAATCATAGTTGTATCCACCTTCATGGCTGGTGAAACACTGTGCATTTTTAGTTGTAACTATGCACTATACAAAACTTTTCTCATGGTATTATAATATTAGCACCTAATATTTCCAGCCATATGTTTAGCTATCAAAATTATTTTACCTTGAACTTAAAATTATGGTAATTTTATGCTGCTATTACTTACACATAGGATAATAAATTAATAATTCCAGATCCTTTCACTATCTAAATGCATTTGATGTAATAATAACAAAAAACAAATAAATTATAGATAATAATGATCTTTATTGGATAGGTGGACCACTGTTTTAGATGAGAGATTAATAGTATTGCTTTTTCAACAATACTTGTCATAATATAGTAAATAAAATACAGGGTGTCCCACATCAAATTTTGTTTTTTTTTTTTTTTATATTACCCACTAGGATAAGGACTACAGATATTTATATTACAATTAATTTTTTATGTATTAGTAAAAAATTAAAAAAATAACTTTGTTTAATTATTTTTGTAAAATTTGAAGATAGCCTATTTTATATAGTTTATTTTTCTGTTAATTTTGATTTATCAACTTTTTATTTTTGTTACATTTGTGATGTTTTAAAGTTTAGTGATAAATATCTATAATTATGCAGCAGGCTGTAATCAATTCTTTATTGATTATTATTATTATTACAATAAATTTATTGTATACTTCTTTTCAGAACCTTTAAAAACTATTAAAAATCATAAATTTAATGAAAATAAAAAGTTGATACTTATAATAAATCTTGTGTTAAATTTTTATATATTTTTGTTTAGTTTAATAATTGTACTACAGAATACTTACCCAATAAAAAACAAAACTTGCAAAATTAAAATGTCTATAAATAGTTCAAAATTTTGTTAAAAATTTTACCACATCTAGAAAAGTAAATATAAGTTTTGTGTCCAAATTTAAGTCTTTGTGAAATTTTTTAATTGAATTACAACAAAACAAAATTGAAAATAATAAAATCATTATTATTTTTTTTTAATTTTCCTGGTTTTCTTATATTTTTATCCCTGGACTCCCCCGATATTATGAAAATTGCTTAATAAATTAAAATTGGCCTTACTAAAGTACCTTCTAGACAATATTGTCTTTAAGAAAAAGTGCTGTAATTACATGTCAAAGTAAGATTTCGGGTAGAAATCTTTGTCACAGTATCAGAAAAAAAAAAGACATTGTAAAACCATTACATTCTTCGCTACATTCAGAATCTAAAAAATAGAACAAACTTCATAAATAAAAAGGTTTTTTTTTAAAAAAAAAAAAATAATTAGACTTATATTTGAAAAGCTATGTTTAATTTATCTAGTATTTTTTAAACTTATTTTAAAAATATTGACTTCAACCAGTATAGTAAACATAATAACAGTATACTGTACCTAGAAAAATAGGAACCCAGTGACAACAATTTATTCATAAGAAAAAAACAGCTAAACCTGTCTACTGGGCAGTCCCTCATATATTTATTGTAAACATATTAAATACAGAACTTTTAATTTTTTTATTGGTGTCTTTGTATTTATTTCTAGATTGTAATAATGTCTTCAACAATTTCAGTAACAAAATTAACAAATGTATGTTTTGATTAGTAATTAACAATCATCTACTAACTGAAATATATAACCATTTATTAGAGAGTAAAATGTGTGGCGGAAAATTGAATTTTTCTAAATATCTGAATATTAGACCCCCACTCTGCTATGTGAGTTGACCTAAAATAATTTTCTAGTCTAAATCAAAAAGTGGTTGCCCCTAGTCCAACAAAAACTGAAATGACACCACTGGTGTTATAATATTGTAATATTATAGACTAATACTTTAAAAGCTGTGTAAACTTACTAGTTATTTATCATTTTTTTCAACAATCAATTTTTAATCTAACATACATTTCAATGGATTTTAAGGAAAGTCTTAAAAGTATATTTTTTAATTTAGTTTTTTTTTTTAGTTACTTAGTTATTAAATGTGAGTAGCATGTATACTGCCCTAAATTCACTCACAGTCACCACATCTCCCTCATTAATTTTATAGATTTAGTGTATCAAAAATATAACAATTGGTGATATTGCATTATAATGTGTATGTTCAATATTCATAATCAGATTTCGATTAAATTGATATAAGACAGGTTAGGTACAGTTATTCTAAAATGATTAGGAAATATAATGAGGACCTAATAATGTAATTTCTACCTATATTTAAATTTGTAATATTTATAGGATCCCTTTTGAAGTCATAAAATTATAGTTTGATCACTAGTAATTTTATTAATATATAGTTTAAAATAAATTTTGAATAATTTAAATTGTTTGAAAATATACTTAATTACAATTAAAAAACATTAAATTTTATTGCAATTAAATAAATTACTCAAAAATTAAAATAGCTAAATTAATATTTGGAACACATTGCTTATTACAGGGTTGCCACAGACCCTTACTTATGAACTTTCTTGACTTTTCCAAGGTTTCCAAAAAATTTAATACATTTACTAGAATTAAACAAATGTATATAAATATCTATTAATATTTGTTTGTAAAATACTGTTAATAATAATAAATATTACAACATATTTGTAAAAAATTTAAAGTAGGATGTACTAATGGTTAAATTATGTGTTTTGTAATCAAATATATAGTATTTCATGTATATATATATATATATATTCCATACCATACTATGTTAGTGTGGTTCTCATTTTATCAATGAAAAAAAAAAAGTAAACAATTTTGATTGAGCATCTCTTACTTTACTTGTCAATATAAGAGAATAATTTTAGTGAAATTTAGTAATGATAGCTCAATTCCTTCATATGCTATAAAAGGGTTGAAAAATGACCAAAAGACGAAAGTTTAATATTTTTTCAAATTTAATTTAAAAACTATAGCACTTATATACAGTACTTGACCTATGATTCAGAACATACAATTATCTATAAAATATGTCTTTATAAAATTGTTCGTAAAATTATAATTTCTGAAGAAATCAATAAAATATGTCAGTTAATAGTGATATTTTGTCATCAATATATATGTCATATTATGTTAAAATAATTAAATACACATATTTCCTTTGATAATATTTGTTTAATGTCCTATATTTTTCATGTTTTTTCTTAGTTCACATTTTGCTGGGAAAACTTTGGAAAATCGAAAAATAACCTCCTTTAGTACTTTCCCACGCTGATATCCTTTCAGTAAAAGGTGCTACACTTAAAAATTGGATCAAAATCTTTGGTAGAAAAGTTGTACACAGAAAAAAAATAAACATCTTTGTAAAACTATATTAAGTTTCTTCTCTTCACTCAGAATCTAAAAGTTGCATGCATATAATATCTAATCAACAGTAAACATTTCTGAATGCATGTAAATATGTATTACTAAGTATAATAGTTAACTAAAAAAAAAAAATAAAATTGCATGGCTTTGTGTTTTCAATTTAGCGATTACACATTGTATGTCTGTATATGATAAATTTATAAACTTGATCAGTTAGATATTAGTTATAATTATTGTCAATTCAGGAGGCATATGACGGTATGAGTACCCAAAAGCCGAGCTCTTACTGTTGGAAAGCCCAGATGGATGACTAGATAAGAGTTTATTTGATGTAATTGAGAATGATATGTATACACCCCTCTTTATGTGTGTGAGTGTGTGTGTGTATGGTGGGAGATGGAGTTAGATGGAAGTTTAGAGGCTGGTGGCCAATCTCAAAGAGTTGGGGTGAAGGTGATCGAGAAGAAGAACATAAGTTATAATTAGAGTCCAGATATTTATGTTTTTACATATACGAGCATTATGACATGCATAATATAAGCAGTAATATATAAGTAAACATATGGATGATTCCATCAATAGATTTCACAGATAAAAGATTTTTCGGATTAGATAATATTTTAGTAAATTTAACATATTTTAGAATATTTTCTAAACTGTGAGAAAAAAAAATTGCAATTTATAGAAGTTTTAATTATTTATTATTATTAATTTTAATATTAAGGAACTTGAAAAATATATTGTTTGAATCATTTAAATAACATAATTTATTTTTTAAATAATTTTGATAAAAAAAAGGAAAAGTTATTATGAGCAAATTCTTGTTATAGCTTGTGAGTGAGCATATTATAAGACTGTGGCTGTAGGTTAATATATTATGATACAATAAAGTCAAATTTTATTATTGCATTATAAATATATCAATTATTCATGACTGTGTGAACTCACAATAAGATTATATAATATACACACCTAATTATTAATACCTAAAATATTATAACTTTATTATAAATTATCATAAACTGTAAAATATTTGTATAAATATACAATATAAATATACTGGAATACACATAACACCACAAATTATGTAAGATTGTTGGCATTTAAAATTGAGTTATCAAAATTCCAAAAAAAATTTTCAAATTTGCGGTAACCCATAGTAAAAGTGATGAATATTAAAAATTAATTAAAATTTACTAGTATATTTAACTTAAATTAAGAATTTTAGAAATTCTTAGATTAATTTTAATCTTTTATAAACTATAAAGAATATTATATTTCATGGGCCCATTCATACAAAAGTGGAAACAAAACCTTTGTAAAGTGAAGTAATTTCTTCATATTTGACATACTGAAATATAATATTTTATAATAATGATAATATTATTCTTATTACTCACATACTTTAAGTATAAATTATATATTTTTACAAGACAATCTATAGCTCCTCTACAGATGAGGTTATTACAGATCATGTTATGTTTATTTATATTTTGATTCATTAGTTTGTAATTAAAATGAAGTATTTTAAATAAAATAGCTACAACATTTTACAAAAAAGACAGACATACTTGGCAAGTGGTGCTTTGTCAAAATATATGTCATTGTCATATTATGGTAAAATAATTAAATAGCCATTATATATTTTTTTAATATGGTACCGATTTTCCCATTATTTACATGCCAGATTTTTACATTTGCTAGGAAAAATCGAAAAATGATCTTAAATACCTTCCCAGTCAAGATTTATTTAAAGCAGAAAAAGTGTTATCATTGTAAATCAGAGCAAAATTGCTGTTAGAAAAGTTGTTCACAGGAAAAAAAGGCCGAAATATTTTTCAACTAATACTTACATTTCGTATTTTTCCTCTCAAGAAATTTCCTTTTAGAAAAGGGTCTACATTGTATACATTGGAGTAAGGTTTCAGGTAGAAAAAGTGTTCGCATATTAAAAAAAAATATTAACATCTTTGTAAAACCAATACATTATTCGCTACATTCAGAATGTATTGATGGAATTGATTGCCCAGTGTCAATTATTAGCAAGATTAGACACTTTAATAAGTTAAAACAAGGTAATATTGTAACTTAATTTTTTTTTGATTTCATAAGTTAAAAGTTAATTTCTAAAAAAATTAAATAAGTTATTATTTATTTACCTAGTTAGTAAAACTATAGTTCTGTTGGCAATCAAAATATCTTCATAAAAGAATTTAATTCAGGGGTTTCCAATCTTTTTTTTGGTAGGCCAAAACTAGAGACCCAATTTGGGGACGGCACAGCCCACTTGATCCATCACAACTTTTTTATAGCCCAGTTGCGTTTAAATCGTGCAACGTTGCCACACTATTATTTCATAATTGCGCACATATTTATTTACTAATTTAACTATTTTCATTTTTAACATTACATCCTTATCGGTCCATTTTATCATAATTGCAGTTCATGACAATTCTCACTTCTCTCTGTGAACCTTATAGTGAAGTTAGTACTTATTATTTATTTTGCGGTATACACTTATAAGTTAAAATGGATTTTAAAATAACAAAAACTACTAAAAATATATATTACTTATTATTTATATACCACTTTATTTTTGTGAGATTGACTACAATGTATTTTATACAGTTTAATTCCGAGTTTTATTGGGTGAGCGTGCCACCCTACAACCATGCACCCTGTTTTAGCTTATGGCCAGTAAGGAGTCACGGATGTTCAGGATGGTCCGGAGTGGCAAGCCGATCGAGCGTTCTCCCGTGTCGTTCCAAGGTCCACAAGAACCGCGGAACCCGAAACTATGGAGCCCCGCGTACCAATGGGTTCAGACCGAGCGCTGCCCATCTCCCACCGTTGGTTTGGCCACAGCCTACCTCACTGCTTTCCTCTTTTGATCATGGACAACCTTCGGTGTGGTGTAAGCTCGCCGAGAGACTGAGTAGGCATCAGGGAGATATCCTGGTTCACGGCCGAAGCCGCTTGCGAGGCCGTTCGAACTAGAGTTTTCCTCGAGTCAACATTTGAACCATAATCTCAATATCACTCCAGTGATAGTCACCACGAAATCATTCCATTGCCGGCCGGAACCTGGCCAAGACCGAGGCAGCGTGGGTTCCCGCCATCCCGTGGTACCATCATTGGCATCGCTGGTGAAATGCTCGACCGGGAGCATCGTCGGCCGTAGCCCTTTGCTATCGGTCTATCCGGATTGGAGAGCGTCCTCGAGCTTTGGGTGGGCTCTTACACGGAGCGCTCGCTTGTGTTTTGCCCGTTTAGTCGCCTTCTACGATATCAAGCAGTACTTGCTGTTGCCGCTATTCTCTCTTTGGACAACATGGAGTGAGATCGACTACAGTGAATAACTTTTTGCGGTATTGGTAGTTGTAAAGTTATTCAATTAATACTTTATTAGTCTTTTATGTAAGTTATTGTCATATTAAATAATTTTTTTAAACACAAAATTATATAAATTAAACTATAGTGTTAAGACAATTTATTATTATTAAGTATTACAATTTGCTAATTCATCTAATTTACGTACCCACCGTGATTTAGAAAATTCATAACATGAAATGGCAACGTTGTAAGCGAAATGAGCGCATATGAGCTATAAATCGACAGGTAGTACATTATCTTTTGGGCGCATCTGTCCACATCCCTCGGGGCGCAAATGTGCTGTACTTGTTGGAGAAACCTGAGTTAAATAAATGCATTTTACATATGGTTTTTAAAGCACAGAGCTTTATAAGAAATAAATATAGACTATAGCTATATAAAATGAAATGTTAACATTTTACAAAAAAGATACAGTTTTGTAACTAATAATTAATTAATTAGAGCAAATTGTATAAATCAATAATCGTAACTAAACTTATTAGTTATTAATAATTTAAATTAAAACTCAGGCACCTTGTGGCTATAGTTGTATGATTTAGGTCAACATCATATTGTATTTTATTATTATTAATCATTATTATACATTTGTTGTCAATATTGTTACATTTAGTCTATAAACTAAACGCATATTCAAATTTTACAAATTAATCTAGTAAGGTATTTCAAGTAAAACTATAACAAGTTCAAATAATTCAATAGAATCTATTCTTTAAATTGCATAATATGTATAATGTTACAGGTAAAAGTCGAAATTGGTTAAACCTCAAAAATTCCAAAAACACAACTGTCCACTATATTTGGGTAAAGAATCATATTGTTTTATAGTATCAATATTTCGACCAACAAGATTTGGGCAAAACAGTAGTGATTAACAATAATGCAAATAGTATGTTTTTGTTTTAATTATAAATATGTATATAATTCATGTCAAAACGGTTTATATAATCTGAACACTATAGATATTAGGTTAAAGTATTTACTTTATTTAATAATTTTGTTATAATAATTGTAACTATAGGTAACAAAAACAACATTTTAAAAGAGGGAGGAAAAAATATAGAAACTCAAGAATTAGAAATGCGAGCAAAAGAAATGAAATCAATAAATAAAAATAAATTTCTACCACTGACAGTCAAGACAATAGTGATAATTTCAAGGTGTTGTGTTTGAAGAAAATTTAATATAAGGGTTTATATTAAGTACTACAGAAGATGGATTTCATAAACTAGGATTTTCAATGATAAAAAATGGATTTTCGTCATTACTATATTCCAGAAACCAGATATTTGAGTGCAAGTAACTTTTAATTAGCAATAAAGATGTATCGACTTACGAATTACGAAGTGTAGAATGAAGAAATGCAAATGCAAGGAACAAAATGCTATTTTTTTTTTTAAATACACGACGACAAATAAGTACAATTATTTTAATTTATAAATAAAAAAAAAAACAAAAAATAGAAAAATATCTTTATAAAATATATAATTTTCTTTAAAGACATGTTTAATTTAACTAGGTATTTATAAGTTATTTAATTATATTTTTATAATAATATTTATCTGTATCTATTTATTTATTATTAAAATGAACATTATCCTGTGAAATATTAAAATGTATAGAGGCTACAGGCTACAATTTTGTCCAAATTATGGTTGCCAAAACTAAGACAGGTGTGTCACTGACGAGGGAGGGCGCGTAGGAAGAAGATCGCCCCCCTCCCCATAAGCTATGTAATATTCATTTTTGTTATTCAAAATCACAAAATATCTATAATTCTTAAGTACAAATGTAAATGGTTCCAAATGCCATAAAGATTATTCCGGATATTGGAAATACCTTGATTGAAACAAGAATAAAACACTTCTCATTTATAAATTTCAATAAAAATTTTCTCAAGGGTGAAATAGAATTATAAAAAACTAATTGGGAATAATCAATTTGCAAAGATATAATAAAATAGCATATTTTTAGAATCAAAATTGGAAATGATTAATTTAATTTAAATTTTAGATTCTCAGTGTAGCGATGTACCTATTGGATTCACAATATTTTTTTCTTATACCGTCAAAAAATGTCTACCAGAAATCTTACTTCAATATGTAAGTGTTATAACTTTTTTAAAAGAAAATATTGTTATATTGACTATAGATGGTACTTAAAGAAGGTCATTTTTTTGATTTTCCAAGCAGTTTTTAATTTTTAGTCATTAATATTAAATGTAATTATTCCGCCCCCCTCCCTCATAGTCAAGGTTTGGAGACGCTCCTGAATTAAGTTGCCTGTGCAAAAGCTGAAATATGATTTTATCAAGATGTGATCAGTTCTAGTTTTCCTGGGAATTTCTGAGGTTTTGCTCGTATTACATATAGGTACTAAAATTAATTATGATCAGTATACCATTTACCTATAATATATTTATAATAAATACAATTTTATTATTACTTTATGAACTTCTAATATCAAAACATTTTACTTAGAAAAGTATTCAAATTGGAGATTTATCAAATAAGAAGTAAAATAGAATTATGAAAATTTGCATAGGATTAAAATCAAGTTTAAAATACACAAAATTTATTTGAAGTGTCATAGGTTAAGTAAAAAAAAAAAGTCCTAGAATAATGGAGACAGGTGCAGCTACTGTTATAGATAATTTAAAGTATAACTGTAAACAACGATAATCCATTGTTTACGGAAAAACGATTCTGAGCGGAGTTCAGTAGCTAGAGATTTTTTGTCAAAATTATATTTGTCATTTTATAATAAAATAATTAAATAGGCTTTAAATATTTTTTTTCTCAGTTTTTCCATGTTTTAATTCAGTTTTTCATATTTGCTGGAAAAACTCTTGAGAAAATCGAAAAATGACCCCCTAAAAGTACCTCCCTGCAACGATTTCCTTTTAAAAAGTTGCTACACTTAGAAATCATTTTGTCTTCTTTGAGAAAAGTTGTTCACAGATAAAAAAAATAAACATCTTTGTAAAACTATAGGCTTCTTCGCTCCACTCAAAATCTAAAAGAAGTAACTTATTAAATTAAAATTATTTGTGTAAAAATCTAATCACTCTTATAATATATTAGTATAATTTTTTTTCTATGTATTCCTTCATTTAATTTTTTATATTTAGTCGCGTTTTATATTTTGACTGTGAGTTACTTGTTGATAAATTTTTAATTCGATAACGGTCGTATAATCAAATAATACACTTATCATTATACTCCAGGCAACGCATTCATTCAAATCATTTTTTATTTCTATGTGTATATTTTTTTATTTATTTATTTAATATATTTAATTTAATTAATGTTAAATTTTTAATGCTAATGCCTAGCCTTGATTTTTAGGTAACTTTGTGGAGGGAAAATTACTAACAGAAATTAGTGTACAAATATTCGATTATTGTTGAAATCTTTGGTGACTTTACAGGAAATCTTATAGAAAATCTTGAAATTATAGAAACTGGTGTACACAGTGTATTGATCAGTGATTTAACCTTTGTAATTTTGCCATGTCTAGAAAAAATAAATTTAAGTTTTCTGTCAACATTTTAAGTCTATACGAATATTTTAAACTGAATAACATTGAAAAAATACCATTTTAAATAATAATAGAATTATTTCCGTAAATTTTTCAGTTATATCTAAGTGTTTTTTTTAGTTATGCTCAATAATTTATAGAACTACAGAGAAAATTAAAAAAATGATTTACTTAATCATGAACAAAATTAAAAATGCAATAAAAAAGGTCTCTATTGGAGCAAGAAAACATAAGCTGTACAAATTTTAAATAATAAAATCGTGCCGTAATTTGAAAAAAATAGTATATTTCGTTTTTTTTTTTGGTTTTTCTAAATTATTATTATAAAGAATACTTTAGGTATCAAAAAACGACTTGCTTTGTAAGTAGAGAATTATTATAAGAAAAAAAAAAATCGATTTTTTATTATTTTTGGATTAGAACAATTTTTCTGGTAGAAAACATCATGTTAATATAATACAATTTTCGTAAATTTTCATTTACTAACATAATAAAATCAATGAAAACGGTAATGTCGTGCGTTGTGGCACACCGTAAATATTTGCCGTTTGACCTATAGTCTTCTTTCGTGTTTTTCCAAATTATTTCAAAAAACCTCTTATAAAATCAAAAAATGACTTCCCCAATGCACCAACGAAAGAAATTTACCTTTCAGAAAAGGCGCTATAGTCTATACTTTGGAGCAAGTTTTTCAGGTAGAAAAGTTTTTCACAGACACAAAAAATACAGATTTATCATAGTAAAACCAATAGATCCCTCGCTACGTTCCGAATATAAAAAAATTAATTAGTTGTGCATGCCAAAAATATAAACAAATAATAATTAGCGAAAACGGATAAAATAATTTATATTAAAATTAATTACTATATTTTATGTTATTATTACGAATAAAGATACACAGGATACCGAACGAAAAGGTTTTATCAATGTTTTTCAGAGTCCGTCCGCTTCTCACTGTTTGGCATACGATTTATTTAAAACCATGGTTTGGTATGACAACAGACAACAGCTAGTGCTTTAAGAAATAATTGGTATAAAAGTCAACCAAAATCAGTTTAAAATTTAGACTGGAGAAGTAGGGTATGTAATAAATTGCATATCTATTCTATGAAAAATGTTGACATTGTGTATAAAGAGTACACTAGATGGCGTTAGTGGCCTTGCCAAAAGTGAGAAGGTTCGAGCTTCATTTATCACACGTTCGTTCGATATCCTCTAAATCTTAATACGTGGTTATATTTTGAATTGCACTTCTTCAGTTATTATAAATAACTGCGATAACAATTAGGCGCGCGGCAATCATAGATCTACGACCGGAAAGGTGGCAATGATATTTAATCTATTTTATGCCCAAGTAAACAGTAAACCTGTTTTACATTGACAGAGAAGGTGTTGGAGTCACTACGGTGGCAAAGAAATTTAGATTATGTACTATGGATAGAGCTATTGATTAAATATTTGAAGCAAACATAACTAAGGGGAATTGGGACACAGTAGTGTATGCAAGATTTTACTTTGATTAGGGTTTTCATTATAGATAATCAAAGACCCGTGGGGGGCTTCGCTCTATAGCTGACTTAGTAAATAATACCAATATTAAAACACAAAATAATTCTTCCAAGTTCCTATTTTTATACTAATTGTCTTAACTTTTAAAATCTTGTAGGCACTTAATTTGATAACTATACAATTTTTTTATTAATACAATAAAGTGTTTGGTAATTACATATCATATACTATAAAACAAAATAAAGAAATAAGTAAACAATATTCATACAGTTTTAAAAGTAACAATTTTATATTCATTTTAAATAAGTTTGATATCATGGTTATTAAAGTCAGAGCCTGATCGTGGAATTCAATTTTACTTTTCAGTGTTTATTTTGTCGGTTCTTAGTACATAAATGCATGCATGTTTAACACTTTTTTAATTTGGAGGTAGGTACGCAGGTTAGGTATACCCTACACTTAGTTACATTTCTTTGAAAAAAGGTTTCAATTGTTCACTGTTGTGTTTTTGTGCGCAAATGGGTTGTAGACATCACGTGGTTACCCAAGCTCGTTAGCCTGCTTAATTCTGTCACCAAGTGTGCTGCCCGCTGCTGCTGCCTTGCTGGCCATGTACCTCCATCTTGTCGTCCATCTCCCGGACTGGATCTTTCTGCCATTCTCACGATCGCTGCAAGTAAAATCAATTAACTCCTTACTCTCCATGTTCCCTTGTTTTCCTTGCTGGTTCTGATAGTTGGCCGCTCGCTTCATGATACGAGGAGTTTGCGTGCCGATTTTTGGTCCATCACGAAAAATTCCTTCCTAACCTGTTCCGCTAGTCTTACTGGCCTCCATCAGTTCGGTGCGAAATCAGCATGGAACCCCTGATGGGCCTTTAACAAATGATGCATCCTGTAGTATACTAAGTCTTATGCACTAACTGTCGAGCACCAAGGCCGCAGGTGTATAACCTATCTAGTTGTAAATATTTGATCCCACTTATCGAGTTCCACTAATTACGAATCTTTTTTTTGTATTTTTTTTACAAATTTTTCAATTTTTTGAACGAATGTGGATTACGTGAGCACAGTCAAAATATAATAGGTTCGCACATGCGTATATACATGTTTATTCTCACTATTCATATAAACATGTTATATTCTTCATGGCTAGAGTGTGGAATTAAAAAACGCGTTTGAAATCTGGGAGTTCCAAATCAAACTAATTTCATGGATCAAATTGTATTTTGCATATCAATGGCATATATGAAAGATTAAGATATATTTTGTTATTATATCAAAAATAGTTTATTTCGTGATATTTTTAAGTTGATCGAACAAAATGGGAGTTTAAAAAATAAGCTGGCTAAAAAATTGAAAAATTCGTAAAAAATAAAAAAAAAAAAATTTGCAATTAGAGAAACTCGATTTGAAATTAATTGCAATTAATTTATAATTATTTGGTGGTATTTTGAAATCAGTCGGACAAAG